ATTTTAATAATAATTCAAACTAATAATAATTGTAAGATTTTACCTAATGGTCCGCTAGTGAGGTCAAACCACCTGTGAACTGTGGATTAAAGGTTATATACACACAACTGCCACTCGATGGCGCACCAGCATATCAGGCCTCCACTGACAACACCCCCCAACCTGCAGAAAGCCCTGAGGAATTCTGGGAATGAAGAGCAGCAGAGTTCAGCCAACAGCTGGCATCCAGTTATCAGAGAAAACACATGAAGTCAGACCCAGAGAGAGAGAGAGCGTTTATAATGTTTATAATGTTTATAATGTTATTAATGTTTATAATGTTTATAATGTTTATAGTGTTTATAATGTTATTAATGTTTATGATGTGATTAATGTTAAAATGTTATTAATGTTTATGATGTGATTAATGTTTATAATGTTTATAATGTTATTAATGTTTATGATGTGATTAATGTTTATAATGTTTATAATGTTATTAATGTTACTAATGTTATTAATGTTTTTAATGTTTATAATGTTTATAATGTTTATAATGTTATTAATGTTTATAATGTTTATAATGTTTATAATGTTTATAATGTTATTAATGTTTATAATGTTTATAATGTTTATAATGTTATTAATGTTTATAGTGTTTATAATGTTATTAATGTTTATGATGTGATTAATGTTTATAATGTTTATAATGTGATTAATGTTTATAATGTTATTAATGTTACTAATGTTATTAATGTTATTAATGTTATATAATGTTTATAATGTTATTAATGTTTATAATGTTTATAATGTTTATAATGTTTATAATGTTATTAATGTTTATAGTGTTTATAATGTTATTAATGTTTATGATGTGATTAATGTTTATAATGTTTATAATGTTTATAATGTTTATAATGTTATTAATGTTTATAATGTGATTAATGTTTATAATGTTTATAATGTTATTAATATTTATAATGTTTATAATGTTTATAATGTTATTAATGTTTATAATGTTATTAATGTTTATGATGTGATTAATGTTTATGATGTGATTAATGTTTATAATGTTTATAATGTTTATAATGTTATTAATGTTACTAATGTTATTAATGTTTATAATGTTTATAATGTTTATAATGTTTATAATGTTTATAATGTTTATAATGTTTATAATGTTATTAATGTTTATAATGTTTATAATGTTTATAATGTTATTAATGTTTATAATGTTTATAATGTTTATAATGTTTAAAATGTTTATAATGATTATAATGTTTATAATGTTATTAATGAGTGTGTGTGGAGGCTAAGATAAACCTGACAGTTATTAATGAGTGTTTGTGTTAGACTGACAGACTGACAGCCAATCAGCAGGAGGAATAACACTGACATCATCACTGCACCTCCATCAGTGCGTCTGCTCAACGTAAAGTCTGCTGCCATCACCAGCTGCTAACGGTGCTGCTAACGTTAGCTCAGCTTGTTTCTCTGATAACTTAAGATCCAGACGTCCGATGACTAAAATCCTTCATCCGGTTCAAATCTAGAGTTAAAAAGCACCAAGATCTAAACAGTGGATGGTAACAATGTGGCTTCAGACTGGATCAACAGTCAATGATTACAGATTATTGATTGAATCAGCTCCATATAGAACTGTATACATACTGTTTAACTGTAGATTAAAGTTTTCCTCATTTGAACTGCAACAGGTTTCAAAACTTGTTACAGTTCAAAACAAAGAAAGATAATGAAAATCACTGACATTGATCTCTGACTGGTTCTCTCTGTCTGTCTGTGTGTGTGTCTGTGTGTCTGTCCGTCTGTCTGTGTGTCTATGTGTCTGTCTGTCTCTCTCTGTCTGTCTGTCTGTCTGTCTGTCTGTCTGTGTTATTACTGTAACCATCATTAACTCAGAGAACATTGACTCAGCACATCTGTGTTCCTCCGTCAGCACTCTGGAACATTTCACTGCAACATGAGTTCATTTTGTTCTTCAACCACAATCACACTGATCAATATTCTTCAACCACAATCACACTGATCAATATTCTTCAACCACAATCACACTGATCAATATTCTTCAACCACAATCACACTGATCAATATTCTTCAACCACAATCACACTGATCAATATTCTTCAACCACAATCACACTGATCAATATTCTTCAACCACAATCACACTGATCAATATACTTCAACCACAATCACACTGATCAATATACTTCAACCACAATCACACTGATCAATATTTGCTCTCCAGGATGAAGAAACAGGACTGTGGCTCATTAGTGAAGCATAGAAATATCGATAGTTGCCATTAGAGATCAATACATTGTGTTTTGATGTCCAACTGTCTCACCCCGTTCTTGGAGAAGACGCTGTTCATCCACTTGGTGAAGGTTTTCTTCTGGACCGCCATCCTCTGCTCCTGCAGCTCTCGGACCCGCCCCGCCCCGTCCTCCTCGCCCTCCATCCTGATTGGCTGGAAGTTCCAAAGACGGTGAAAAGTGATCAATTTCAACATAATCCATCCTACAGTCGTACACCACAGAGGCTGAACTCAACAAACACTGAACGCTGTCAAATAACTGACGAACATATTCAGAATAACGTTACATTCTGCAATGTTCCTTTATTTTACTTGGAAATCAGCCATCAGCCACGAAGCCACCAACGCCAGACCCAGAATACATCAGTTCGCAGGGCAATAACCAAATAACACATTAGTGCAGATAGCATTTTTCTATCAGTAACATTATTATATTATTGATTATGTGTCAGCTGATCACTTTCACTGAGTCAACAGTTGAAATGCTGACAGCAGGTTCATCCTCAGGCTGTAAAGATTCCTCAGCACTCATAAATGTGTGTGTGTGTGTGTGTGTGTGTGTGTGTGTGTGTTTGGAGGTTTTATGCCACTTATATATTTTTTATTTAAGACAGAAACCTTTTTACTGTATTCATTTTAAGTTATTTTACATATTAATGAGTTTCTCGTATTTAGTCATATTTTCTTATTCAATCTGTTTTAATCGAAATTAACTACTTTTATAAAGTTTCACTTCTTCTGTCATCTTTTAGATTCTCACAAGTTGTTTTCAATGTGTAAAAGTGACTTTCAGACTCTTTTAGACCTTTTTTTAAAGACTTTTTAAACATTTTAAGCTCTTTTTAAAGAGTTTATTTTTAACGCTGCAGTTGGTTAAACTTTCTGTCAGATTTAAAACTTTCACTGTCTCATGTGATACTGTACTGTAAGTGATCGTCCTCACATCAACAGGAAACAGAGATGCACAGTCACACAGGACTAAAATAAGCTGCAGATAATAAATCCTGCAGATTTACAAACATGGAAGAACGAGTTTTATCTACAAACACTTAGAAAGAACAAAAGACTCAGAAGAGGAGAAGAGACGGAAGAGAAGCTGCTGGTACTTACAGAGGAAGCACTGATTGTTCTTCTCGTCCTCTTTATTTACGCACAGTCTCGCACACACAGAGATCCACAAACCCCACGGACACTGCGAGGGATCGGATGGCATCTGTGAGTGTGTCCGTGTGAACTTTGACCTCTGCACCTGCTGTCAGGTGAGTGGAGCTACTCATGCTGTAAATCTGATGGCTTCAAGGTTCACACACACACTCACAGACACATTAAGATAAACCAGAGTCAGCAGGTTAACTTGTCAGTATGTCTGAGAACTGTAAACGTTCACTTCACATGCTGCAGGAAAAATCAGCTCTCGTGCAAAAATACAAAAAGTAAAAAGGTCAATAGAGTGCAGAAAGTTGTGTTGCATTCATTGTGAATCAGTTTAGTCAGGGTTGGAGGACACTTGTTCACATTTTTTCCACTGGAAGGGCACTTTGCCATGTTTTCTCCGACTGTAGAGGGGACTTTATCGTCCACTGGAAGAACACGCTGTAAAGCATTTTATTGTGTTTTGTCCACTGGAAGGGTGGATATATTTTTCAGCTGAGCTCAGTTTGAAGCGACTATATCTCTGGGAGTACACAATCACAAAATCTGTCAACTCAACACTGACAGCCGATAATGTGAAGCCGAATCTTCAATCTTAGATCTCTGAGTTCCCTTAAATGCACCAACATGGACCTTTTTCCTAAATCAGTCCCTAACAGCAGCATTATGACGCAGTCTGGCCAAAGAAAAGCTCATCAGCGTTCATCTTTAAACTTACACACACCACGCTCACATCCAGTTTAATAAAACATAAACTCAAAACTGAATTATGTATTCGTATAAGAATCTAAAAACAAAGCTGGAGAGGAAACTGTTCAAGATACAAGAAAGGTTGAGTGAAGTGTTTCCTGCTGAGTTATGATTAATGAAACATGTCCTTCATCCTGACTGCAGCTCTACAGGCGGACAGGAAGTTATGCAACAACTGCGGAGTGGGGGGGGGGGTCACTGGAGCTGCTTTCTGTGTTCAGGTATTTAACTGCGAGTCATTTGTGTGAACTGGCCCTTTAAAACCTTTTTCTCTCTCTGTCCGGAGGTCCTGATGATAACGTTCAGATTAACTGGAAAAAGAATCGTCACAAAGCTGAAAATTGGTTCTGTCTCTCTACGTTTGTTTTGTTACAAACATGATTCAGCAACAGAGTGAATCCTCATTAACAGAACGTACAAAACATCTGAGCCACTCAATCACATTAATTAAACCCAACTCAAAAAGTACCTGTTGAAGTAACTCAGTTGTTTTAAGTTTAAGTGATTTAATTCCAGTTTGTTCCGTTAACTAATTTACTTTAAATTGACTTTATATCGTTATAAACTTTGGATAATCAATCAAAACAATTGATTTTGATCTGAGTGTCTTATCTTATCTCATCTTGATCAGATACTTAACAGTGAAACATCTTATTTTATGAGATCGTAAGCTATATTTATTATATATCTTAATATAAAAAGTAACCAGTAGCCGTTTCATAGAAATATTTATATTTTCCCCCCAAACTAAAATGTAAATAAAAACCTACACCCACCAGAACATGTTGATTATATGTATTGAATAAACTTTATTCTCCAACTTCTGTGAACATGGGTTCATCAGTCAAACATGAGTAACAGACTGTTGACCAGTAACACATTCAAACAGCAAGAATACAAAATACATCAAAAATACATTCAGATAAATGAAGACATGATTTCACTGAATGTACAGTCTGACTGAGAGACGCATCTTTGCACACAGAAAACATCAAACACTGAACTTTCCCACGCTCTTCAGGCCCCTGAAACCACCACACAGCTCATTACACAGCTCATATCAATGATACATTTATTCACTTAAATCCTGTATTTTATGGACCTTAAATCGAAGAGGACTAACGACTTAACAGATGAAACGCACAAAGACGCAATAAACTAGAATAAACTTAGATTTTGGTCTTTCTTTGCATGTTAAAGGCACAGAAGCCGCCCGGCTGCTGGATCCTCGAGGACGATCACAGTCCTGTCATAGAAACAGAGGGCATCAAAACACACTGAACTCAAAAGGCACGACTGGGAAAGTGTTCACCAAACTCAACCTAAAAAAACAGTTTTTTAACCCCAAAAGGCTTTGAAATGAAGAGGCACCGACGGGGAAATGTGCAAATGTACACTGAAAGATACAGATAAGCTCATTGAACTCAAAAAAACTGTTGGAACAGATTATCAAACCTTTTAAGTTAAACCAACTCAATTTTGTAAGTTAGAAAAACATTCTTATTAAAGCAGATTTAGTCATTTTAAATGACACTGACTTAATTTAGTCATTTTTATTTGTACTGAGAAAACAGAATACGTACTTAAAGTACTTAATTAAGAATGTTTTGTAATTTGTTCTTTGTACTTCGTTTAAACAATTGTTTTGAGTTAAGTAAACTTATTGAATTACAGTGTAGCTTTGAAATCTGCGTTAAATGTCTTAAGGTGTGTTCAGACTGAACACAGAGCAAATTTTAGAGCGCGTGTTCATATAAAGTCAACAAAAAGACAAATTTGTGCTCATCGTAACATCGTCCTCAAACACACGGCTGGAGCATTTGTTGCTAGCTAGCTACAGCTAATGTCTGTACAGTCTGAACATTGGCTGTTTGATTATAAAACACTAAAAATTAAGAGACCTTAAGAGAACAACGCAAGGCGAAAATATGCTTCAAATTCAGTCTAAATACACCTTGAGACTTTATAGCATCTGGCAGCTAATAGGCGGCTCACAAAATAAACTTCCTGTCGTACTTAAAGGCACATTCAGAGCAAGATTCGCTGCTACTTTTACTTTTTTTTAACAGAAAATGGAAAATGTACAGCTTTGCTAAACCTGTCCAGCTACAGCAATTATCCAATAACAGCTTAGCAACCGTAAAAACATTCTAGTTTGCAGAGTTGTCATATTTTAAAAACACAACACTGAAGTGTAAGGAATGGATTAAAAGCTCTGTTTATTAAGTTTACGCTGTCGCCGTTATTACTCTAAACTGTCTTGTGCAAGAACGTAAGCAGGCGTAGCAACATGAGCTAATGGTGGCGGGGCTTAGCGAACAGTCAGGTGTTGTATTGTAGAGTTTTGATATGGATATTTATAGTTTCGGGTTAGTTTATACTGATGTAATTCGCATTTTAAAGATTATTACTGTGTAAATTTACAGGCAGACTATGTGGCCAAAAGTATGTGGACACCCCTGGTCTGTGTTTACTGGCTTGTTTCAACGAGGGAAACTCTTAATGAACTGGACCACCAGCACATCTGATCACCAATCATCAGTATTGGTCCTCATTAATGCTCAGGTGTCTGAACTGGAGCAACATCAGCAGGAAATACCGAAACCAGAAGAGTGGCGGCAGTTTAACAAACATGTTTTTCTAATATTTGACGTGTCCACATACTTTTGGCCTCAGAGTATTTTTCTGCCTCGGTTTTTAACAATCTTCGGACCGTGTAGGAAGTAACTGGGTTTTTTTTTAAGCTCCATAGATAAAACAAATAAAGCTGTTTCCATAAGGAGGACACTGTGCAGTCAGCAGGGGTCAGAGGTCACCGGCTCTCCTCCTCTCGGCTGCTGTTTACAATGTGAGGAAACCGACACAAACTGTCGACGGCAACACGAGTCAGGACGCCGTCCGTCCCGGAGGACGAGTTAACAGCGAGCTGCAGCGGCCATTTCCACTGTCATCTCCTCCTGACTGTGTGCTGTTCAAACACGACAGACTCTGACCTTTGACCCCCGACAACCCCCGTAACCCCCAACGTCCTGGTTCTGGGACTCATTCTGCACCCGTGTGTCACGTGAAGAAGGCGGTAAGTAAACGGCTTCCTGCTCTAAAACGTGGACTCGTGGATTGAATGTGAGACTTTTTCGGTTTCTCTGATCTGAATCAGGTTATTTTACCTTTTTATATAATTTTTTTCTTTAGTAAAAGTTGTTTTAACCGACAGAAATCAAACGATAATTCTGATTAATCAAACCTTCCTAAGCCCCGCCCCTTTTTGGTCTCTGCTCCAATAACAGTTGAACAAGCCGCGGTCAACTTCCTCCTTTCCTGTAGTTAGATATGCTACGTGCTAAGCTAATCTATGTTAAAAACACAACCAAATGTTGAAGATGGTTAAAAGATAAAGGAGACAAACATACAGTCACATGTTAAATGAGCTAAAGTTAGTTAAACACTAGCTATTAGCGAAATAAAACTGATTTAGCTAATAGCTAGCTTTAGAGAGGGTTTTGCTAACATTAGATAACTTAAAATGTGAGAGTATAATAGTCTCATTTATCTTTTACCTTCTTCAAAATGTGGTTGACTTTTGAACATAGATTAGCCAATTGGCAACAATATTTATGGAAATGTAAATAAAATCTTTAAGAAAATGCATTAAAACATTTAAATTTAAAAACATTGATTTTGGTTCAAATATAAAATATACGTATGTTTGACATTATTGTGGACGTTTTGAAAGAGTAAATTATTCAAAAATTAATTTAAAAAAAGGTACATTATTAGATTGAATCAAACCTTTTATCTTTTTGGAAATGGTGAAACTCTTAAATTCTTTCACCAAACGTCCGGATTCATTTTGGAGACTGAACTAAAGAAATTTACAGTGAATCAGTATAAAGACGTTCAGAGGCGTAATACGAAGGGAAAGTAAGGCAGGAAGTTGGTTAAATATCAAGATATTTGTCCTCTTTCAAAATAAAAGTGTCCAGATGAAAGCAGACTTAGTGAAATGTGAAGCTACATTATCATTTCTTCCTCTTTGGTGCTTTGAAAGCAGCTGAATTGTACAATATATAAAATCTTACCAGAATAAAAGTGTAATATACTTTGACTTCCTGTAGCGTTCAGTCACTTTTGTCGTGTTTGTCTGCTGGCCGGTTATTTAAACGTGTGTTAGCGATAGATGGTTGGAAAACGGTGGTGAGCTCCTCGGTGTGTACATCCTAAACTTTGACCTTTGACCTTCTGGAGCTGTCAGTTTGCTGATTGGTTCTCCTGTTAGTCAGAACGTCAGCAGCAGAAATGTTGATTTTTTTTACATTTGGACCCAGTCTTTGGCGGCTAGCTCGGCTCCCCGTTAGCGCTCTAGTCCTCGCTGTGGTTGTACAGGGCGTCTGCGGTGGCGTTTTTGCGGTGGGACGGGGGCACCAGGTGGTCAGGCAGCTCGGTGGGCAGCTCGTAGCCCTCCAGTTTGATCTTGATGAGATGTTGGGCGAGGGCGAACTCCTCGTCGTCCAGCATGCCGTCCCGGTCGCAGTCGGCCAGCTTCCAGATCTTCCCCAGCACGGTGTTGGGCAGCCGCGAGTTCATCATCTCCTTCTTGGCGTTGACGCCGGTGATCTTGCCGTTGACGGGCATCAGCATGTAGAAGATCTCGTCGTAGCGGTGCTTCTCGCGGCTGACGATCCAGTCCTCGGCGTCGGCCCCGGCGCTGATGCCCTCGCCATAGCCCTGACCGAAGGGCCCATCCTGGGAGCCCTCGAAGGCGCCGCCGGACACCATCGCCGGCGGCGCCTTCGACTCCTCCTCCCGGATCATCGCCATCAGAACGGCGATCTTTGAGGCCAACATCTTATCCACCGACTCGATCAGCTTCATCTTCAGAGACGGGAACTTGCTGAAGTCGTAGTGCTGCAACATGTCCTGCAGGACGAGACACAAACATTAAAATCAGACGTCTAGTTATTTCCAGCATTCGGACAAATAACTATTTCTCGTTTGACAGATTATTGTTCAAACACTGAGACATTAGTTTAAAAAAAATCTATTATTGTGCTTCTTGTGGTAAAATATTCAGAGTTTCTGCAGGCTGAATCTGTTAGAACACACTGGTGCCGGTACACGGGGTGGTTGGGTCTTAGGGGTTAAGGTACGGTGGCAGAGACGTATCAGCGAACAGCAAAAGTCACAACACATCGGAAGTGAGCGAGTACTAATCATTTTTTATATTAACGTACTCATCTAAAGTTAGGATATTATAAAGCTAGCTGTGCTGTAGTGTTACATCTTTTAGTTAACGTCCTCAAAGCGAGTTTAGTTTAGTTCATTGTGAGCTGATAGTAGCATTTTGTAATATTTGACTGAGAGTGACTAATCTGATAGTAACAGTGATCATAGTTTACATACAAACTCATCAGGTTTTACAATCTGAGGTTAATATATTAAAATCAGATTGTGAGAGAGACTGTTGCAGTTCCTGTTGGCCACTGACAGATGGCGATAAAAACCAGAAACAAACACTAACTGATCTGAAACGTGAAACAAAAACTACCCTGCAGGTTGTTCCTCCTTCAGGTGAACAGAGCTGACTGGCTGCGGCATTAAACTGACACAGAGCAGAGCTGAACCCCCCACCCCACCCCCGCTCTCTGCAGCTGCACTCCGCTGACCTCCGACCTCTGAACAAGAACAACAGCAGGAGGATCCAGATACTACACAACACGTGTCAGTGCGTCCTGAGAGTTCACGTCTCAGCAGGGAACTGAAAAATGTGAAACATCCTCTCTCGCCAATAACCCAATAAATACAAGTGTAGCTGGGGAACGAACACACACCTGCAGCGTAGCATCTCTACAGGCCAGCTGCACTGTGTGTGCGTTCAGTTCCCTGAGTGAGTGCGTGAGTGAGTAAAAAATGTGTTTACTGCCATCTTAAGATCACAGTTTGTTCTCGTTTTCAGACGGACAAACGTGACGTCTGATCCAGAGCTGGAAGAAGTTTTCAGATCTTTAAATCTAAGTCAGAAAATCTGTTTTTCTTTTTGTTTTTAATGAGGCAGAAGACATCACACATCATTGTTCCAAACAGACTATTTGTATTTATGTTTTAATACATGTCTGTAAAAGTACCACAAATATTTTTAGTATTAGCAGCAAACTGTGCCTTATACTTAATACCTGAAAGTCAGTTATAGTTGGAGAAATATTGTATGAACTTCCTCCTTCCCTGTACTTAGATATGCTACATGCTAAGCTAATCTGTGTTGAAAAGACAACCACATTTTGAAGATGGTTAAAAGATAAACGAGACCCATACAGTCACATCTTAAGTTAGATAGTGTTAGCCCAGCATATAGCCTATCTAAGTACAGGAAAGGAGGAAGTTGACCGAGGCTCTGTGATTAGAGCAAACAGGGGCGGGGCTTGGGGGGGGTGCTGTGACATCACTTCCTGTTTGTTTCCGTACCTGCATCTTGGCGACGTTGGGGAAGTCTCCGGGGCTGATGTGGTGCTCTCTCTGCAGGATGGTGTAGATCTCCGGCAGCCTCATGATCAGCTCCTCCTTCTTCTTCTCCCGCCCAAACAGTGACGGCATTTCCTTCTTCAGGTAGCTGATGATGTAAGCGTGCACCTGTGGGGGGGGGGAGACAGAGGACAGTGTTGGCTTCCTGTAAGGTTGCTTTTGTCATTTACATTTAGATTTTTTTAATGTTCTGTCTCTGAATAACGAGAGCCGCTGCTCAGGATGTCTAACTCTGGGGAACTGAGGGATTACTTCGACTAGTTTCTGGACAGGAAAGACAGTAACAAGGTGATTCACGGCGGCTCCAACCAGGACTCTGACTGCGGGGGAGACGAGGACAGCAAAATCTGTCAAAATCTGTCTCAAATGATCTGAATTCTTACTTAAATAATCAAAGATTTGCACATTGATGATATATAAATAGTGTTTTAAACATGTATTCTTTCTAAAGGCCAGAAGCTGAAGTCTGATAGTATTGAGTCATATGGAGAAGTGGATTTATTAGCTCAGTAAACAGTTTCCTAACGAGTTCATGGTTTCAGTCTTCTTCAAATAACACACAGGTCCCAGAGAGCGTTTCAATCAAAATATAACTGGAAGTCTGAGTGAGCGACAGAGAATAACAGGAGACTGACCGACGCGGGGGGGAGGAGGAGGAGGAGGAGGAGGAGGAGGAGGTAGAGGTGGAAGGAATGTAGGAGGGCAGAAAGCCGTCAATCCTTCATACCAGCCCACAGCATTATGGGAGGTGGAAGGAAGGAAGGAAGGAAGGAAGGAAGGAAGGGAAGGGAGGAGGAGGTATAACAGTGAGGGAGTGAGGTCATTGAACTTCTGAGTACATCAGCCATTAATCAATAGCTGATAGAGGGAGGAAGAACAAAAATACATTCTGATAGATGAGCGGGTGGTCATCTGTTTACTAAGAGACATCCTCCAGACGCTGCAGGAACGTCCCATTACAGGACCCCCACTCTCCTCCAACTGATGTCCCACGATATTAACCTGCAGCTGGGGTAAACAGCGTCTTCTCTTTGGATGTTCTTAATTCAACGTTCTGTAATCAGGACGTGTTCTAGGAGAACGTGCGTCTGGTTGGGGTCTGCCTGTGTGCAGCTCTGTGTCTGAAGGTCACTGTGTTCGATCCACACAACAACAGGATGTTATTCTGCAGAGTGCTGCTCACCTTCAGGGCTTTACCTCAGACATTTATGTTGCTATCACGTCACTCGTTGCTGTCACACTGCGAGGTCCGAGCTGATTGGGTGGGAGAGCGTGTGATGTGTTTATCTGATATAATATTAAATAGGTGGTCGCTTTGGCTTAAGCAGCCCCGGCGTCGCTTTTCACCGCCACTTATGAAAATCAGCAGGCAGCGTGTTTCACGTCCAGATGTACAAACAAGCCTCTTGGAGCCGTACCCTAAACCCAACAGGAAGTCGGACATTTTGAATTTAATGTCAATACAACAGGAAATAAACGAGGAGGAACCAACGACAGCTCTGAGAAACTGTTCACATATCAGAGTGTTCCTACCTCCAACGGTCCAGGATTAAAGTGAGGAGTTAAGAAAGGTCACTCAGGGTCATCCAGCAGCACTGGGAATGCTGGGTAATCTAACGTGTTTGTGTGTGTGTGTGTGTGTGTGTGTGTGTGTGTGTGTGTGTAAGCTGCCAGATTCCTGTTTGTCTGGTTGAATCGGGAAACACTTCAGTGGCGATAAGAACAGCAGTGTGTGTGTGTGTGTGTGTCTGTGTGTGTGTGTGTGTGTGTGTGTGTGTGTGTGTGTCCAATCCAATCCAATCCACTTTATTTATATAGCACAATTTAACAAACACAAGGTTTCCAAGTGCTGCACAAAAGATATAGAGAATAAATAAATAACACAATCGAAGATACACAATAAGAGATAAAAGCAATAAAATAAAATAAAATAAAATAAGTAAAATAAATAACAGAAATAAATAAAAGCACTGCCCACACAAGATAAAATATGCATGTGTCACATAGAATCAACGCTCTACATGGTTAAGCCGAGGGGGTGGGTTTTAGAAGGTTTTAAAATGAGACAGGTGTGTGTGTGTCTGTGTGTGTGTGTGTCAGTGTGTGTGTGTGTGTGTGTGTGTGTGTGTCTGTGTCTGTGTGAGTGTGTGTGTGTGTGTGTGTGTCTGTGTGTGTCTGTGTGTGTGTGTGTGTGTCTGTGTGTGTCTGTGTGTCTGTGTGTGTGTGTGTGTGTGTGTGTGTGTGTGTGTGTTGTGTGTGTGTGTGTGTGTGTGTGTGTGTGTGTGTGTCTGTGTGTGTGTGTGTGTGTGCCAGAAACAACATCCAACTAATGAAGTCATTTAGTTTCATATTTACCGTTCCTTGTTTTCTTTTATCAGGAATGTTGGATAAGTTTGCAGAAACAGAAACTTGATTGTTTGTTTTTCATGTTATTGGAAACGTGTCCAATAATCAATAATCAATAATCTCACCTCTGCTGTTAGCTTTAGTTATTGGGGTTAAGAAAAGTGGAGGAAGTGATGTAAGCAGAGTTGTAAACAACCGTCGCTCCTGAAACATGAAAGAAAAGTTTTCCTGAAGGAACGCTGACCTCCGAACACAAACACTGATTGATGGAGCCTCACAGGAAGCTCTTAACACAGCTCCAGGATCAGTTTGGACACAGCGAGGAACCGAGCGTGAGTCAGGATACGATTTCCACTGAAGCTTTAATTTTAGTTTCACTTCTGCTTTATAATTATCAGAAAGAAGAAGCTGCTTTTCATTCCTTCAAAATAAAACTCAAAGAGTATTTATCTTCTTCTGATGGAGCTATGCTAACGGTTTCCCTTGACTTCTAGTCTTTGTGCTAAGCTAGGCTAAACACATCAACAAATTGAATCCTCCAGAGAGCGGTCAAATTTCCTGACTTTTTTCTGCCTGGGATACACAACCGAACGTTCCAGGATATTCCCAGAATGCCAGAACCAAACCAAACTGTTCACACCGGGAGGTTTAACCCGGGTTAACTCGGGTTAACTCGGACCAGAACGTGTCATTTCCTGTCTCACCTTGGCCAGTCTCGCTCTCTTGATGAGGTCGTTGAGTTTACGGAGCGCCGCGTTTCTCGGGAGACTCTGGATGTCCCTGAAGAGGTCCTGAGACTCCGCCTCAAACAGACGCCTGAGGAGGAAGTGAATGAGTGAATGAGTGAATCCAAGAATGATAGTGATTGGCTTTAGAAAGAAGAAACTTATTCATGAAATAATCAATTTATAAATTAGTAATCAAATGAATGAATGAATGGATGAATGGATTATGGAATGAGTGAATGTATGACTAAATGAAAAGAAGAACACTGAATGGATGAACAAAATAATGAACAAGTGAATGGACAAGTAGTTTAAATGATTAAAAATAATAATGAATGAATGAATGAATGGTATTGTGTCCTGGCCTGCAAAATGAGTGAGTAAATAAATGACTACATGAATGAGTGAGTGAATGGCTGAATGAATGGTAATGTAAACTATCCTACCAAATGAGTAAATGAATGAATTAATGAATTAATGTTTCCTGTTCAATGAAATCACAAAATAAATGAATGAATGAACACCACTGTATTCTCACCTGAAAAATGAATGAATGGCTGAATAATTAATTAACAGCAGTGTATCCTGTTCTTTAAATGAATACATGAATGAATGAACAGGTGAATGGCTGAATGAATGATTAAAACACTGAGTGAACAGTATTGTTCTCTGACCTGTTCTTGGAGTTCTGCAGGGGTCTGAATTAATAAATGAATGAATGAATTAATCAGGGCTGTATCGTGGGCAGCTATGTGAATAAATAAATGAGTGAGTGAGTGAGTGAATGGATTAATTAATAAACAGCATTGTATTATTTTAAATCAATACATACACAAATGATTAAAACAAGAACAGTGTTGTTCTTTAAGTTCTGCAGGGAATTAGTAAATGTCTCGCTATATGAATGAATGAGTGAATGTATGAGTGAATGAATGAATTAATAAGTGAATAAATGAGTGAGTGAATGAACAGCTCTTTGTGTTCTGCAGGGGTTTGAATAAATGTACAATGCTGTACCGTGCTTTATGTATGAACGAATGCATAAGTGAATGAGTGAGTGAATGAATGAGTGAGTGAGTGAGTGAACAGTTCTCTGACCTGTTCTCTGTGTTCTGTAGGGAATTAGTAAATGTCTTGCTGTATGAATGAATGAGTGAATGTATGAGTAAATGAATGAATGAGTGAGTAAATTAATGAGTGAATACATTAATTAGTGAGTGAATGAACAGTTCTTTGTGTTCTGCAGGGGTTTGAATTAATAAATATACAATGTTATACTGTGCTATATGAATGAATAAATGAGCGAGTGAGTGGATCAGTGAGTACATGAATGAGTGAATGAATGAATAAATGAGTGAGTATGTGAATCAGTGAGCATATGAATGAGTGAATGAATAAATGAGTGAGTAAGTGAAGCAGTGAGTTTATTAATGAATGAATGAGTATATGAATGGTTGAATGAGTGAGTGAGTAAGTGAAGCAGTGAGTATATGAATGAATGAATGAATGAATGAATGAATGAATGAGTGAATGAGTGAGTGAGTGAACCGTTCTCTGACCTGTTCTCGGTGTTCTGCAGGGGTTTGGCCCAGAAGGATCCCAGATAAACTCTCACCACCTCTGGAGTGTTGATCACTTTCCCCAGTGACCACATGAGGGCGCCGTACACACGCATCAGCTGCTGGGTGTCCACCTGAGAGCACAGGTGAGGAACAGGAAGTCATTTCATCTTTTTCTAGCTGTGACGAAGCCGTTCACTGAACCTTTCGTTCATCCTACCTGGTCGGCTTTGTTGAGGACGACGCGGATCTTGTCGTCCTGTCCTTTGAAGGCTCTGATGGCCTCGGAGAACTCGTCCGAGATGTCGAGTTTGTGAGCGTCGAACAGCAGAATGATCCGGTCCACCCGCTCGCCGAACCAACGCAGGACCTCCGCAAAGTCATAACCTGCAGGCAGACGCACAGGAGGACCCTCATCATCATCATCATCATCATCATCATCACCACTTCTGTACGAACAATAAATTCAGTTTATAGAGAATTTCTTTCTCCATTTTACATCTACTCATTTGTCCCAACTGACAATCGGGACGAGAGGCGACACACATAACTTTGCTTTGGTCTAAAGAACATTTAGCTATTAGTGACATCTTGGAGAAGCTTTCAGGGGCCGGCTGCGGCTGCGACCAGGACTCTGACTCTGGGGATGAAGGCAGCGACAGGAGAGGAATGAAACCAGTTAGTCAGTGAGTAACTGTTAACGTTATCCATCATCCATCGTATCGATCAGTCCACCAGCATTAGTAGCCCTCGTAATTACCGATTATAATCCTGTACACTAATGATGGGATAATAATAATGAAATGTGTGTCAGAGTTCAGATTGAACTGAAGAATCAACAGAGAACTGCTGTGTCTTTAAATGTGTGTGTGTGTGTGTGTGTGTGTGTGTGTGTGTAAAGTGATCTGTGGCAGTCTGGGTGTGGTTCCTTTATAACTGTGACACCAGAAACTAAACTGAGACAAAAGCTTTCAAACTCCAACAGGAAAATCCCAATAAAGTCAGACAGTGTTCACTGTTTCACTTCCTGTTTAGATCTGTAATCTACTGTTTTTGTATTGTTTTATTTCACTGTATCCTCACTGTGTCATTGTCCTCCTCTCTTTGTATAACAAGAGTCAGTGTCACAGTAAAATATGGTTCACGCTGAGTAACCATGGAAATTAACATAAAAGTCTAAAATTAAAACTATACACACACACACACACACAAAAAGTTCAAACTCAGCCGTCATTCTCAGTGTAGTAATCAATATGCAAGGTCCAGATAGATTTTCAAAATAAAGCGCCCTTATGACTTTAAATTAGGCTAACACATTGTCAGTAAACAGTAAAGTTTAGTTTAGCCTGTCAAACCAAACTCCATTCTAAAATCAGGGGTTTTAAGGTTGGGCGGTTTCACCATCGAACGTGTTGACGGGTTGGAATAGGTGGCGGTGGAGGCAGAAAATCACAAAACTACAAATAAAACCAAACTATCCGACTGCAGCGACACCAGCAGAGGGAAGAGATGTTATTCTGTGGTTTAGGTGAACCGACGCTGTGATAAAAGCAGAGCTCTGGTACGCAGCGTGTCTCCTGGAGGATCGGTTGGTCCAGACTGTTCATCATTCAGATCACCAACACAAGAAGAACCTCCACTTCCTGACAGGAATTTCCATCACACTCAGCTGTTTTTGCTTTTCAGCTCTTTAAGGTCACCTTTAAAATTTACACTACACACACACACACACACACACACACACACACACACACACACACACACACAGAGAGAGAAACACCTTCAGCAAACATTGGCCTTTACAATGGCTGCTACAGACCTTCAATCAACATTACGTCCAATTAAAGTCTCCAACAGACTGAAAAAAGAGTCAATTGATTAATACTGCAGAGTGTGTGTGTGTGTGTGTGTGTCTCTCTGTGTGTGTGTGTGTGTCTCTGTGTGTGTGTGTGTGTGTGTGTGTGTGTGTGTGTGTGTGTGTCTGTGTGTGTGTGTGTGTGTGTGTGTGTGTGTGTGTGTGTGTGTGTGTGTGTGTGTGTGTGTGTGTGTTCAGGTCGACTGGTTGCTGTGTGTGTGTCTGTGTGTGTGTGTGTGTGTGTGTTTGTGTCTCTGTGTGTGTGTGTGTGTGTGTGTGTTTGTGTCTCTGTGTGTGTGTGTGTGTGTGTGTTCAGGTCGACTGGTTGCTGTGTGTGTCTCTGTGTGTGTGTGTGTGTGTGTGTGTCTCTGTGTGTGTGTGTGTGTGTGTGTGTGTGTGTGTGTGTGTGTGTTCAGGTCGACTGGTTGCTGTGTGTGTGTGTGTGCTCTGTGTGTCTCTGTGTGTCTCTGTGTGTGTGTGTGTGAGCTGACTAATCAGAAACGTCCTGCCGTTGGTGCTTATTGTTGTTGCATAATAGTCCTTGAGATTCACTTCCTCATATTGTATGAAGTCGGCCTGCCGGGAGGAGTTTCAGTGTAATGGTGGACTGTACTCAGCAGAAAGGTCAGAGGTCACAGTATCCTGTTACAGATCAGGGAACATGCTCAGAATGACTTTAACACCTTATGCTGTGGAGCCGGTGTCGAGGTTTGCCGTAACTTGTCCGTTCACCACCAGATTTCAGTCAGGACCTCTTCTGTCAAAATGTCTTTTATCCCAAAGCAGAATGTTACATTAGGCGGTATAGCTCTGTTCTGGGACCTCCCCGTCCCCCCCCCGGGTACAGAACAGAGCAGCATCAATGGCAATCAGAAAATGACTGATTAATTAGAAACAACATAAAAGGAGGAGCTGGGGTGGAGGTGGGTTGTAGAAAGGCTTGTAGAGCAGCAGCAGAGATAGGCAGGCAGGCTGAAGCAGCTTAAATAAGGCGCCATGATGATGTTTGCCAATTGGATGCTTGAGGGAATCAGCTGAGCGGTCAGCTGACTGTGTATGGTATCCAATAGGAAGCTTAGAGGAATCAGCTGATCCATCACTATGACTAGCTGTGATCATGTGATATAGCCTGCCTGAACTAACTCTATGCTCAAAGCTTTCCCAGCAGCCTCAGCTTCATTTGAATTCAGACCATGACCATGTTATTATGGCTCTCACTGATCTGTACCCCGCGTAGTATTCAAGTGTTAAAGTCCACATAAAACCGTAGGACAAGCGCCGTTTGCTTCCTCATATTTACGTGTTTAGGCCATAGAGAGGGACCTGTTACTGATATTGATTGCAGCCAATAGTGTGCGTTACTGCTACAAGCTAGCGCTACGAGCTAGCACTATGAGTCTACCTTCCAGTAAACACAGACGGACCCGAGACAAATGCAATCTCTGAGACTGACAGGACTTCCAGCACTGAGGTGGTTTTCCTGCTGGATTTAGCTCCTGGTGTCCGGCGGCTGAGTCAGTTAGCTTAGCTGGAAGGCTAACAGAGCTAACAGCAGTTAGGGTTGCTAGATCAGTCAGAACTGTAACTGCCTCCGTATGTCTATCGGTCATCAGAAACTGTAACTGCCTCCGTAGTCAATCTGTCCATCAGAAACTGTAACTGACCTCCGTAGTGTAACTACTCTATCGGTCCATCAGAAACTGTAACTGACCTCCGTAGTGTAACTACTCTATCGGTCCATCAGAAACTGTAACTGACCTCCGTAGTGTAACTACTCTATCGGTCCATCAACTGTAACTGGGTTCTCTCTATCGGTCCATCAGAAACTGTAACTGACCTCCGTAGTGTAACTACTCTATCGGTCCATCAGAAACTGTAACTGACCTCCGTAGTGTAACTACTCTATCGGTCCATCAGAAACTGTAACTGACCTCTGTAGTGTAACTACTCTATCGGTCCATCAGGAAACTGTAAATCTCAGAGAGTTGAAGAAGTTTACTGATGTTGAACCTTTCCTCTGGCGCCCCCTTCAGGACAAACACAACAGTTCTTGTGAAATTCTTCATCCGTCTTTTCTCTCACTTCCTGTTTTGTCTCGCAGTCTGTTTCCTCCGATGAACCGTCGACTGCAGCAGAGATTATAAATGCAGATCTGAAACCGATCGACAGCAACCGATCTGAAGGCTGTTAAATCCTGAGAGTCAAACAGATTACAGATGTTACAGATGTGTAGAGCTGCTTCAACTGCTCCGCATGAAGAAGATTGTAGTTAAAGGTCGTTTTCAGTTTCATTTCTCAGGAACAAACAACAAAGTAAAGAACAGCTGCAGTGACGCATTACAGTATATCGCTCATTAACTGTAATCAGTGTAATTCACTGATGATCAGTTGATCAGTTGTAGAACTTGTGCAGCATTGTAACACACATATATATATATATATATATATATTATATATTAGTGCTGTCAAACGATTAAGATATTTAATCGCGATTAATCACATTAATGTCATAGTTAACTCGCAATTAATCGCACATTTTTATCTATTCTAAATGTTCCTTGATTTCTTTTTGTCCCATTATGTTTTCTCATTTTAATGCTCTTATCAACATGGAAAAGTGGATCGGCTTGCTTTGAGCAAATGTTGTTTTTATTGAAAACAACATTGGCATATACTGTAGTGTTTAATTTCACATTCTCACTTGGAGCAAATAATCTCTCACACAATGTCATCAAGTGGTATTTCAGACTGGACGTGCTGCGATGATAGCTCACTTCACAACCACAAAACACACAGATCACTTTGGTCTTGTCAATGGAACCATTTGGCAACTTTTTAAAAGTAAACTTTCCATTCAGAATAGTCTCGCTCTCGCCATCCACTCAAAACTTAACGTCTACTACTCTTAAACAAGTGTGTGCGGCGTGCCTGTTGTTTTGTTTCCGGTCTAACTAGATCCGGTGTGGTGTTGTAGTTTTTCTAACGTTACTAGTTGTTGCAACAGCATGTGGAAAAACTACAAAGTATGCTAGGCCAAAAAGAATGTTAATCTCACGGGGAAAAAAATTGACGCCATTAAAATGGGTTTGCATTAATAACGCGTTTAACTGACAGCACTAATATATATATGTATATGCCTATATATATATATATATATATATATATATATGTATATATACACACAGTACATGCCCCCCTTTATATTTATATTTATATATATATGTACAGCTGTATGCACCCACACAGTCCTGCAGTCTCAGACTTCACTGTGTGTTTTTAGCAGAATTTTTGTTTTTAGTTTGTTGAGTCTTTTTCAGCCCTCAGCATCGTCTGCAGGCGCTCCTGTTTATGGTTATGGTTTTTCCTGTGGTACCGTATAGAAACCATACTGTGCCTGCTGCTGCTCTGTGTCCCTGTTGCTCTCATATTGAGTCACACTGGATGACAGCATCAGTTTAAAGCCTTAGCTGGACGGGTGGACGGAGGGAGGATTAGAGGGAGGGACAGAGGGCCACAGGAAGCGGCGGCGGGGCGTTCCCTCCATCTGGAAGCGCTTAGAGCCGCTCAGCTGAGGCCGAATTCCTCCTGAAGACGTTCAACAGGCCAACTGTGACTCAACACGCACGGAGAGGCCGGCTGACGTCAGCACCGACAGACGCTGCAGCCGCAGTGAGATCACAGCGACTGCTGGTTCACTGACATTCAGCAGGGTTGCTCAGTGCGGCGCTGGGAGGCGTTGAGCCACATTATTGTTCCTACATTGTTGTTTTGTGTGTTTGTTAATCCGGTTTCAAATCTGAATGTACAGAAAGAGAAGCAGAGAGCTGTTAGCTTCCTCTTATTCACGTATTTCCTGTAAGAACAGGCAGTGAGGGAGGGACCAGTCCCTGTAGCTAATAGCGCTGTGTGCTACGTCCCCCCAGCAGGTCCAGACCGGGACTGAATGCAGCATCTGATGCTGACGGAGGACAGTTTGACTGCAGGGAATAAAGAACTGAGCTGGTTTTATTGGCGGTTTTGGCTCCCGCCACCACGGGGTGATATTATTGGTTGAAATCAGTTAGTTCATGCTGACGTAAGCACGAGTCACATTAAGTTTCACAGGAAGACACAATGGTTGGATTCTGATATAATAATATAAAGAAATGGCAGTTTTGTGAATTGTTAGTATAAACAGGAGGAAAGGGAGACGCTGTTAGCTGCCGCTGACTCCAACACAATGGACCTTTAACTGAAGTGGCAAAAATGGTTCAGGAAATGTGGATTTTGCCGTAATAATCTGAAAGAAAGGATTAATTAAATGGAAATAAAGGAGTTTTAGACCTTTAACGGCTTCTGGACGTGTGAAGATGACACTTTTATGGAACTGTAAAGGAGGACCCGCGTTGTTCCTTCGTGTGTTTGCAGTAGAGACTCTGAGCTGTGTTTGATGGAAACATTACAGATCGTCTGCAGGGTGGAGCTGCTGTTTGCCCGGTTGGCTGTGGTCACAAACAGACTGATCCGCTGCCAGTCGGCCATCATCAGAGGGTGGAGTCTGAGTCTGTTATTTGTTGACATAGTCAGTAAATATGCTCTTATTGTCTATTTTATATTATTCTCTGCTGACTTTCTTTCTCTCCTGTTAACATTTATGCATTAGATGTCGCACTAGAGCACCAGTATCTCAAAACCAGGGGACCACAGCCCACCAAACTTCATTGACACAATCAGTCATTTAGCAGATAATGACAAGATAAAATTAACCAAAACCGTCTCTGTTAGTCTTTCCATTAATCACCAACTCTGATTTGGTTAAAATAAATCCTTAGTTAACAGAGTTAGATGAGAAAATAGCTGCTATAGTGTGTTAATCCTCGAAGACAAATGTACCTGTAACTGTTCTTGTTTGTCTCTGACAGACTCAGGTTGTTATTGTCAGTGTCTGACAGCATTATAGAAAGGATCCCTACAGAGATAGACCTTTAGTTTAACCACAAACAGCCGTAATATCACTATCACTCTCCACCAGACTCCAGAGACACAAACAGCCGTAATATCACTGTATATAGTGAGGTTCTATACATACCAACCTTTTTATGTCTCATATCTGTCCACTTCTCATTTGACTTCTTCTCTCTTTATATCAGTGACTCACTGTTGGATCTGAGCCTTACTTAAATTCTTAAATCTTAAATCTTTAGTCAGCTCGTCCTCCCGGGCTTTCAGCCAATAATCCCTCCTTTCTGCCTCTGGCTTGGTCCTCATTGGTCCCACCCACTCTGGAGTCCAGTCCAGTACTGGTTTGTGGTTTCACTGGTCCACTTTGGCACCATCGGTCCTGATCCAGTAAATGAACTCAGTGACTCTGCAGACGGATGATGAGTGCTTTGACACATATTTTATATTGATTAATAGATTAGACTGAACAAAGATCCAGATCCAGCTCATTAATCAGTGAGCTTTGTGTATTTCTGAACTTTGGACAGAGGCAGGCTAGCTGTTCCCATCTGTTTACAGTCTTTATGCTAAGCTAGGCTAACCACATCCTGACTCCAGCTCTTTACTGAGAAGAATAAATAAAAAGGATGTGCTGTTGTAGAGATGCTACACAGACACCTGCCAGTAGAGGGAGCAGCTCCGGCAGCGCAGATGGTGGGATGTGGGGGGGGCAGGCGGCTGGTGCTAGCGCTGCTAACGTTAGCCACCCTCGGCAAAACAAGACGACAACATCCGAGACCCACAGACGCTGTGATCAGTTTTGACTATTTTCCGAGTGCTTTCTTACTTTCAGACTAGTTGACGAGAGTGAATTTAATTGGTTGCCTCGTAAAAATAATGTATGGGACTTTATATAATTATTCTCAAGCAAAGAGGAAGATTCTTTATTGCAGTTTTAGGACCCGTTCTCGGATTTTTATTTTGTTTCAAAAGTAAAAAGACGAGGTTTGACGAACCGTCCCGGTCTGAATATATATGAAAGGTTGCATGTTTTATTGTAATTTCTTACAGCAGCCCAGCTTTTATTTCCCCGTCCGACAGCACTTTCATCGCTGCGGTTAGCGTGTGTGTGAGTATTGTCGCTGTTTTAGGAATTATGTGTATCAGCTGCTTTAAGGCCTCGCCAGTCTCCACTCATTTACTCTCCCGTTTCCTTTGTTCAACTCGTTCTTCCAGAGACGTAAATACAGTGAGTTAAGGCACTGAAGAGGAAGTGGTATTGTTAGGCTGAAGGAGTTTCCCTTTCAACAGGAAGTGGAACATGTGAATAATCAGCAGTTACACCTCATATTAAAGCCAGCAGGAGGAGTTTTCTGGCCGATGTTCAGCTGTAATGAGTCTGCTGATGAGACTGTATTTACCACTCAGTCATACAGCATCACGTCTCCTGGGACCAACCTGAGCCAAACACCTGAACCTGCAGGTGAAACCTGAAGCTGTGAGGACTCGTTCACCATCAGACACCTTCACACGTCATTTATTCATGAAGGGACGATTCCAGCAGAAAATTCTCAACGTGGTGGAGCTCTGGTCACACAGTCTGAACACTTTAAACCAGACTAACACTTTAAACCAGACTAACACTTTAAACCAGACTAACAGTTTAAACCAGACTAACACTTTAAACCAGACTAACAGTTTAAACCAGACTAACAGTTTAAACCAGACTAACACTTTAAACCAGACTAACACTTTAAACCAGACTAACACAGCCATATATTCAAATAATGTTGACAGTATTTTCTGTTTGATAATGATTTTCCACTTTTCTATCAACTCAGTGTGTGTGTGTGTGTGTGTGTGTGTGTCTGCGCGTGGGCGTGGGCGTGTTTGTTGTGTCCACAAACAGAGGTGTGTGTTGCCCTGCAGTGATGTTGTCAGTGTGGTCAGCAGCACCTCTATTAACTGTTGAGGTTTAAGGAACCACACACACACACACACACACACACACACACACACACACACACACACACACACACACACACACACACACACACACACACACACACACACACACACACACACACACACAGCTCCTACCTCTGCTGATTCGCTGTTTCTCTCCAGAGAGGATACCAGGAGTGTCGATGATGCTGATGCTCTGAAGAACCTGATTGGGCATCTGAGAGCAGATAAACCTGAACCCCACACACACACACACACACACACACACACACACACACACACACACACACACACACACACACACACACACACACACACACACACACACACACACAAACAGGAGAGAGTGAGACAGGTGTCCATCATTTCCACTGTTAGCTTCCTGTTAGCTCATATATAAACAGACAGGCAGTTAGAGAGGGACCTGTCGCTGTAGCTAACAGCGCTGTGTGCTACGTCCCCCAGTCCAGCAGCTGTAGTGGATCCATTAGCGGACTCTGTTGGACTGGAAGGTCCAGACCGGCACTGAACGGCAGCTACGTTAGCAGTTAGCTAAAAACATGTGTCTGTTACTTGACTCCAGCTATTGGTTTCACTTTACTGTGAACGGAGTTAGCGTAGCCCTGATCAACCAAACTCCATTCAGAAAACAAGTATTTTTAAAAGTTGTTTTGTGCACAGACTCGTCAAAGTCGGCGTCATGACATCATCGTTGTTCCAGCCTCATTTTGATCGTTTGTTGACATTAAACCACAGAAACATCTGTTATTGGCTGTGTGTCCGTCTCCTGGAGGTTACCTTTATTTAGTGCTCCAGAAGAAGAAATCGTTAAATGTGACTTTCTTTTTGCATTAATACAATATATCATTTATTTCTACTTTGATCATTTTAACGTATAAATAACCTGAATGTGAACTTTGACCCCTCGGACAGGCTGAGTGCTGCAGTTATTACATCGTGTTCCCGTTGCTGTGCTCGCTCTGCTGTCTGGGCGCGTTGGGATCCGGGTCGTTGAACCGAGGCGACGCTCGCCGTCACAGAGACGCTGCTGTGTAATAAACTGGGTGTGATCTCAGAGTGTGTCAATAATGTGGGTTCATCTGAAGTAGGGCTGCTACCAACCATTATCTCCATCAGTCCCTGAATCTAACAACATTAATAATATATAATAACATATAATTCATGACAAAGTAAACTCTGGACTGAGACTGCTTCCAGTCTTTATGCTAAGCTAAGCTAACAACATCCATCCATCCAACTGTTTCTTTAAAGCACTGAATCGAGATGTGTGTGAGACCTCGCTGTCACCTGCCATAAATATAAAGTTAACTTTATCTGACAGGCTGCAGCAGCTCGAGGCGGGAAGAAACAACCCCGACACGTGGTGACGCACACACACTTCCCCTGGAAACAATAACTTATTTTGGTTCCTCCATCACACCGGGATGAGATCGGATTCCTGGGTAAAGGAATGCCGTGGGTACACCCCAACACACACACACACACACACACACACACACACACACACACACACACACACACACACACACACACACACACACACACACACACACACACACAGTTCGAGGGTCCATTTCCTCGCTGCCGCTCTTAGAAATATTTCTGGAAGAGGAAATACGTTTGGAGTGTTTTTAGCTAAATTTAAACCCTCAACACGAACTCTGACAGCCAACTCTGTGTGTGTGTGTGTGTGTGTGTGTGTGTGTGTGTGTGGGTGTGGGTGTGTGGGTGTGTGTGTGTGTGTGTTTACATGTCAGTCAGGAGTGAAGAGGTCATTTCCCAGGTTGTGAATGTTTTGAGGAAAGCAGACAGTGTAAAGAGCTGCCAGGATCAGAAACTGCAACTAACAATTATTTTCACTGTTTTTTTCTCGACCATGTGATGAGGAGGTGAAGCAGCGTGGGATCATGGGAGTTGTTGTCTTCACCACCATTGGCGTCATTGCAGTCAGCTTCTCCCGGTTAGGATTCCTTCAGTGTTCATGGTTCAGGAGGTTTCTACCGGGAGCCCAATGATCCACAGAGGTCTCCTCCTCTCCAACACAAACAGACCCGCTGATTAAAACCACTAAACACACTGAATAAAGCAGTTCCACCTTAAACACACTGAATAAAGCAGTTCCACCTTAACAATCACTGCTTCTCCCACGCTGTTGGACAGACAAAGGAAGGAAACACTCGGGGTTCAGGTGATGGATTACCATACATTATATTTTAACTGGACCCTTTGTGCTGGAGGTGTTACGGTGTTTTAAGTCCCCTCTGGATTAGAAACGTGAAGCTTTTTATCACAACAGCAGAAACTAAGACAACACGACTGAGGTTGAGGGATTATTCTGTAAGGGTTCAGCGTTAAGGGTCCGGGTCTTCCAGGGTCCAGGTCTTATACGTCACATCAGTCTACAGCCGGGTATTGATCTAAAGTCTCCACTGTGTTCTGTATCAATAAAACCAGACCGGCAGCCTCTACACCGCCTCCGAAGCATCAGGATCACAGCTGGAGCTGCTCATGGAGGGCTGACGTCTGATCTAATTCACTGTAATTTGATTTCACGAGCTGCTTGAGGAAAGACGAAGCTTAATGATGATGATGAAGGTGATTAATGATCCTGGAGATCAGCAGGCAAACATCCAGCAGAGTTCATCTCATTTTAATCCTCTGAGAGCAACTAAGTCCCAGTTTTAGTCCACAGCACCGATTCCCAACCTTTATCCTTAAGGGTTGACCCCTGACCTCATGACTTACTGTATGGTTATTTAATATTACACTTTTTTGGAAGGAAAAATAAAGTTAATGTAAAGTTTGAGTTTATGTTTGATTGCTAGAGTTTACGATTATAAACGAACAAATGTCCAAAATGAGATGAAAAGCATCAGGTACATTATTCCAGCAGGTTGTGGAGAGAGTGTGTGTGTGAGTGTGTGTGTGTGTGTGTGTGTGTGTGTGTGTGTGTGTGTGTGTGTGTGTGTGTGTGTTTACCTGTTGAGGAAGGAGTTCCCGAACGCGTTGAGCTTCCTGAAGGGTTTCTTGGGGTCGACCACCAGAGCGTTGCCGGGGACGACGCCCTCATTCTCGCCGTACATCACCGCGATGAAGCCGTCGGTGGTCGGCTCTGGACCGATCCGCATCCCCGGAAAATCCTGCTCCAACAGGTACCTGGAACCAGAGACACAGATTCAGTTTAGGTTTTGTTTCCAGCAGAGTTTGAGGCTTTTTTTTACCCATCGTTCTTTCTTTCATCTTAACGTCGACCTCTGTGACCTCTCACTAAACCCCTCGTTAAAGAAAAGTGAGACAGGAAGGAAGAGCTGCGGTGGCTCTCTGTCCTCGCACTTCCTGTTGTCACAGCCAGACGGACGGGCACCGACATCAAAGACAGAACGGACAGAACAACGTCCAGAGAGTCCGTTATTATCGTCGGCTCTGATCCGGTTTACTGTCACACATCATCAGCTGACGTGTTTCCACTGAGCCTCTCCGATCCTGGAGGATTGTCACCGGGATGAACACTTGTTGTTATCAGCTGGAGTTCAGGGAACAATCAGCAGCCTCCAGATGCTGCTGGATCTCTGACTGCTGGATCTCCGACTGCTGGATCTCCGACTGCTGGATCTCCGACTGCTGGATCTCTGACTGCTGGATCTCCGACTGCTGGATCTCTGACTGCTGGATCTCCGACTGCTGGATCTCCGACTGCTGGATCTCCGACTGCTGGATCTCCGACTGCTGGATCTCTGACTGCTGGAGCCTCCTGCCATGGTCCCGCTTGACTGCCATTTCCAATATCACTGATATTATTATTATTATTATTATTATTATTATTATTATTATTATTGTTACTACAGTTACTATTATTACTATTGTCACTGCTCATTGTCCCCCATCGTTTGTCGTCGTCATCATCTTCTTCATGTTCATCATCATCAGTCACTACTATTAGTGTAGTTGTTGCTACTCTCTCTCCCTCTCCCCTCTCTCTCTCTCTCTCCCTCTCTCTCTCTCTCTCTCACCGGTCGAGGCAGACGACCATCACCTAGAGCCGAAGGATCTGTCCTAGGGTTCCAAACTAAGATAAAGTTTGGAAAAGGCTAGCTTTTTATAAATAAGTAAATATAAAAATGAGCCAGTCTTTTGAACGGCTCCTCAAGATCCAGCTCCCTCCAAAGAGCCATAAATTACTTAGTTACTTCGTTAACATTTAGCATATAAAAAATTTACAATAATATATATAATAACACGAGTCATCTCTCAAGCTAATTGATGCCACCTTCTATAAATCCGTCCAAACTTTATTTAGCTACAAAATAAACAAAATAAACGAAAATAAAGAAAGGAGTAAAAAGTAAAAGCACAAACAGTCACGCTACAGACTCTCTACATAAACACATGTTACTGTCTTCACGTGTGGACCAATCAGAGGCCACGCTGCGACCTCGAGCTGTTTGTTGAGTTTCACTTCACCTCCGTCAAAGAAGGAGAAGAAGAAGAAGAAGGGAAGAAGAAGAAGAAGAAGAAGGAAATATGTCGACTCTGCAATTTACTGGCAACCTGTTCCCATGATTCATAGCATTCTTTTCGGTTCCCATGATTCATAGCATTCCTCAGGGCAGGGTGGGCCCTCGGTAGTGGAACACACACACACACACACACACACACACACACACACACACACACACACACTCACACACTCACACACACACACACTCACACACTCACACACTGTAGCAGCAGCAGCAACAATTACTTTAGACGTAAACTGATTGCAGGTCAGTTCTGCTGCCAAAACCAATGACTGTTTGTATCACACACACACACACACACACACACACACACACACACACACACACACACACACACACACACACTGAGATAAGCTCAGTGAACTGTAACTGCGGTGTGATGATCTCAGCTCTCAGTCAGTCTGACCACTTGTTTTCTCTCCTTCCAGGCCACCGTAGATTTCACCTCCATCTTTAAAAGCTCGACTCGCAGAGATCAATAAAACGTGTCAATACGATCAATAATCCATCACTGTGAACATGCGATCGTTCAGTCTGATGCTGCCTTCAAGGACACCTTTTTAAACATGGAGTCTGTAACGCCCGCTGCCGTTGGGGTCGTTCAGATGTTGTTCGCGTCCCTCCGCTCGGGAGGTTGCAGTACTGTGGCGCCTGTCGTTACTAGGCAACCAAAACCTGCGTGCTGCACGATAACGAGGATGAAGTTTCAGTAAATTGATCAATAAACCTCAAAGAACATTTTTTCCCAGGATGGTGAGGTCATAACTCTGCCTCTGATTGGCTGACATTCTTACCCTAACCAATCCCACTCCTTCACGCTCAAACCAGAGCAACGAGCGCCCTGCAGGTAACCAGACTGAGCTGTGCACACACTGAATGTGTCTGTGAGTCAGACTGACTGAGTCTGTGCAGGTCACAGCTCGTCTGTGCTGCCGGAGAGAGAGAGGGCTCTGACAGTGCAGACCTGCAGCTCTAAACACACTGTGTGCAGTTGTGGCGGTCTGTTATCTGCAGCTTCAGGAGGCCCAGTTAGTTAAAGACAGTTAAAGAGCTGTGCTGATAACACATCCCAAACTTCTGCCTTTCTAAAGCACAAACCTGCTCCATTCCCTTTCTGTCAGCCGCTCAGTTCATGTGTGGGACATCTTAAATGAGGCTCAACCTCTTGTGCACTTCTGCTGCAAAGCATGAGAGCTTTAAATAGGAGCATTTTCATATGAAGTCTGGCTACAACCTTCTGCTGCTGCAAACCTCAAAGTTTATAAAAATACACAGAAAAGCAGCAAACCGCCACACTTTGCTTGTTAATAACCGGAGCAGTTCATTAAAGTTAAACATGTCAAGACCCCAAAGATATTCATGCCAGACTCCATTGGAAAATCTGCACATTTAATTCCATTTATAATTTGTAAACTTATAAAGCAGAGCCAGGACATTTTCTATACAAGGTTTAATTATTTAACTATATTAACCTTTTGCTTGGTGAGTAACCTATTCAGTTGTACAAAACTCACACTGGACAACAACAATCAACCGATTATTGATTGATGAACTCTGTATAAATGTTTTTATTGATTAATCAGTTAAATGATGGATAGCACCAGCAGCAAGCACATGATAACAGTGAGGAGAGCACACACACTGCCAGTACAATTCATGTTTCATCTTCTGCTCATCAGCTGAAGCTTCCTCAGCGAGACCTCGGTCAGAGCGGCCTTCAGACTAACTCAATCACCCTCAGGGCCAAAACAGGATGTGATGTCACAGGCCTGATTAGGTAATGAGGAACTATCGAGCCGATCACTAACGGACAGACGTAAACAGTCCGCTGTAGTAGACTGATGCTGCTGAGACACAACCATCATCATTTTATTACTGTTTCTGTTGTTCCTAATGTCGGAGGGTGTGCAGTCATGAACGCATGTGAGTGTGTGTGTGTGTGTGTGTGTTTGCCCCTGAGGGGAAACGGCGGCGGCGGGGGGGTTGATCAGCTCTGTTACTCGTGACAATGTGCCAGCCTCCAGGATTTAAAAGAGCTGAGCTCAGGAGTCCTACATCCCACTTTTATGGAAGAGAAAGTGATGTTGAACTGCTTTGACTGAAGTTATATATATGTTATAAACTCTATGACACTTTTGGTGACTAAATAAGCTAGCTGCCTCTTCTGAATCCGTCCCTACAATCCAGAGAGCCTTAAATAGGAAGATTTCCTTATGAGGTCTGGCAGTAACAAAGAGCAGATTGATGGATCTAACAGCTGATAAAGGTGATAAAGGACTCTCTGCCCTCAGGTATTCACTACCTGACACATTTCTGATATTCTGAAGCATTTACAACAACCCCCAAACTACTGAGCACATGACCCCCCCATTCTGAAACACAGACGTCTCACTGTCCTGCATCAGTCCTCGTCTTCAGATCGGACCCAAAACCAACAAAAAACACCGGAAATATCACAACTGCCGACAGATGGAACAATGGCAGATCAGTTACACAGAACCGACAGTCCACAGAGAGAAACTCTCATGAAGCTTTCATACAGAGGTCATATCTGCCATGTTTAATACAACTACAGTACCCATGAGCCTCAGCGGGTGCACAAGATGCCAACTCCTGCATTCAGGTTGTACAAACACAGGAGGACAAACTGGCTGCCACATCAAATAGGAGTGAGTCACTAGATTTCCACATCAGACCTGCAGGACTGTGACCAAAGAGTTGCTGGTTCAAATCCCTCAAATGATCCGGGAAGTGAAACCCAGTAACTCCTGTCCCAGCTTCAATGTGCACACTGAGTTGGATTTACAACGACGGCTCATACATGTCACTTTTGTTGTTTTAAGAAAGAGCAGGTGGTGTAAACTGATCAGCTCACCGAGGTTAAATAACATCAGCACCCTGGAGGAAAACCCGTGCCAAACTCCATTGACAAACTATCCTATTTAAGACTTTTTTGCTATTTGGCCACGGTTTGCATACTATAAAGACAGACTCGAGACATTGTCTAGTTACTAAGAGTAAATTCTTCACTTCGGCATAAACTTGAGTCACCAAACTGTTAGTGTTTTAATTATATATCACTTTATTGTGTTGCTTCCATTGCCGCCTTCTACTAGAACGCACCGAGGAGAGCCGTAGCGACCACTTCCAACCCAATCACAAACTGACACTGTTATTAACATACAGATGGGCTCTGGTGGGTTTTATTTCAGCCGGATTTACCATCAAACAACACATTTTTATTTTACATCTTATATTACGAGCTATCACTGTTGGATCCTTACCTACAATCTAAAGAGCCTTAAATAGGAAGATTTCCTTATGAGGTCTGGCATTAAGAAAGTGCAGGTGGCGTAATCTGATCTAACACCTGATAAAGGTGTTTTTTTCCACATGTGTTGTGTCTCTCTGTCTCTCTGCCCCCCCACCCCCTCCAGCCCACTTTACAACCAATAACGGAGGATTCTACAGGCAGGTAGACACGGGACCACGCGCGGTGGGTCGTACCTGATGAAGGTGGTTTTCCCGGTGGAGTACTGGCCGACCAGCAGCACCATGGGCTTGCTCTGGAAGTCGGCGGCCTCCAGGGCCGGGGAGTGGAAGTCATGGAAGAGGTAGTGCTCCTCCAGCGGCAGCAGCTTCTTGTGGTAGAGGGTCTGCAGCCCCTCCGTCACCGTCTGGTACATCTCTCCTTCCTTGTTGCGTCCACCTTGCTCCTGTTTCACCCAGCTGAACATGCTGATGAAGACCGGCTGACTCTTCCACCGCTGACCGACGGATCCAACTTCCCTGTTTCGATATTTCCAAATGACCCGGCTGTTTTCGGCTCCGTTCGTCCTTCAGACCGAGCGGAGGAGAGAGAGAGAGAGGGAGAGAGAGAGAGAGAGAGAGAGTGAGAGAGTGAGAGAGAGAGTGTGTGTGTGTGTGTGTGTGTGTGTGTGTGTGTGCGCGCGCGTTTGGCACCTGGGAGTCTCCGCTGAACACACACTGCCTCCTCTGTGGAGATGTGACCGCTGCTGGTGCGCCTACCTGGGGGCACCGCCCTTCCCCCTGTGACGCAGCATCTCACACACACACACACACACACACACACACACACACACACACACACACACACACTCATTTGTTTATTATTAGAAACAGACACAGTTCAAGCTCAGCTGCTATAATTTAATAAATTCTAAATGGGGTTCTGAATGAACAAAATACTTCTTCAGTCTTTCAGAGCTTTCAATCAGATCTCACTGCCTTCCTCACTGAGGATGGACACACACTCTTCTCCGGTCATATGAGCACGTGGACGATAACACGCATAAACTGCATCACTGGCAGCTCACCGAGGTTAAATAACATCAGCACCCTGGAGAAAAACTCGTGCCAAACTCCATTGAAAAACTCTCCTATTTAAGACTTTTATTTGCTATTTGGCCACGGTTTGCATACTATAAAGACAGACTCGAGACATTGTCTAGTTACTAAGAGTACATTCTCCACTTCGGCATAAACCTGAGTCACCAAACTGTTAGTGTTTTAATTATATATCACTTTATTGTGTTGCTGCACAAACATGGCTCCCATTGCCGCCAATTAGAATTTGTGAAATTCTAAATTAAGAATTTGGTAAATTCTAAAGGGAGTTCTGAATGAACAAAAAAGTTGTTTTTCAGCAGTGATTAACAATGGTGACACGGAGAGATGACGATGGCCAATCAGGAGACCAGCCAATTGAACTGCATCAGCTGTCACCATGATAAAATAAAGCAGTAAAATAATGTACAAAAACATTAATAATTCATAAATATTAACCTCAACTTTCACTTACTTACCTTTTCAACAGCTTCTAACCATAAAGAGTCAGACAGACAGACAGACGGATAGACAAATAGATAGATAGACAGATAGATCATCACTCTGTGTCTTGCAGCGCCCCCCGCTGGATGAATCCTGACAGTACACCACACACTCTGGCTCTACACTGACTTTATTGGGCAGTGGTTCAGATGCTGCAGGTTGAACAGAAAGTTGTGTCAAACTCCATTGAAAATGTGTCGTATTTAAGACTGCCTTGGTATTTTGGTAGAAACGGGCTGAAAGAGGAAGATTTTCATAGGAAGTCTGGCACGTCCTTTTATATCAGCTGAATAAACTGTAAGACTACACTCATTTGTTTGACATCATATATTAAACTCTTGTGGACTCTTGTTTTAAAGTGGACGATTTTTAAATGAAGTCTGGCATGAAGTCTCTTCCATAGAACACATAGAGGTGTAAACTGTTCTTAAGCCTGGTAAATGTTTGTTTTCCTTGCATGCAGTGAAACTCACAGCCATCGCAGCCCATTTAACATCTAATATGGGTTACAGTGACAGAGACAGTGATGATGTCATCATAATGTCATCAGATGGGGGGGGTATTTTGGGAATACTGATTAATGCCGGTTGCTATAGAAAACAGGACAGTTTAAAGTCTAACATTTAACAACATATTGTCTTTTTTCAACCAGACCTTGTATGGAAGCCCAATTTCTGCCAGGAAAATAATAAAACATTGAGTTTCAAATGAGTTTTATTTATTTATTTCATCTTATTTTAATATTGGGGGTGTCAAGGGCAAGATTAAGGATGTTCAGTATAGGTATTACAATACAAACACACTGACTCACAGCCATGTAGACATCCCATTCTCAATCCAATCCAATCCACTTTATTTATATAGCACGAATTTAACAAACACAAGGTTTCCAAAGTGCTGCACAAAAAGATATACAGAATAAATAAATAACACAATCGAAGATACACAATAAGAGATAAAAGCAATAAAATAAAATAAAATAAAATAAGTAAAATAAATAACAGAAATAAATAAAAAGCACTGCCCACACAAGATAAAAATATGCATGTGTACACATAGAATCAACGCTCTACATGGTATCAAAAGCCGAAGAGAAGAGGTGGGTTTTAAGAAGAGTTTTAAAATGAGACAGAGAGGTGGCCTGTCTAATGTGCAGCGGCAATCCATTCCAAAGTTTTGGAGCTGCAACGGCAAACGCTCGTTCCCCTCTGAGCTTAAGCCTAGCTTTAGGCACTGTCAGGAGCAGCTGGTCAGCTGACCTGAGAGATCGGCTGGGAGTGTAGGGGTGCAACAGCTCAGAGAGGTAAGAAGGGGCAAGGCCATTCAAGGCTTTAAAAGCAAATAAAATAATTTTAAAATGAATCCTAAAATGGACGGGCAACCAGTGGAGTGAAGCTAAAATAGGTGAAATGTGCTCATACTTGCGTGTGCCAGTTAAAAGACGTGCAGCAGCATTTTGTACCAGTTGAAGACGAGAAATGGAGGACCCACTAACCCCCATATAAAGTGCATTACAGTAATCCAGCCGAGTGGTCACAAAGGCGTGGATTACTGTCTCAAAGTGCTGTCTCTGAAGGACTGATTTGATTTTTGCCAGCTGCCTTAACTGGAAAAAGCTAGACTTTACCACAGCTTTAATTTGGCTGTCAAATTTAAGGTCTGTGTCAACTTTTACCCCAAGATTTTTTGCAATTGGTTTGCGATATTGCGCTAAAGAACCCAGATCAACTGGGGGGGGGGTCACAGAAGTGCCACCAAAGACCATTACTTCTGTCTTTTTTTCATTAAAATTCAGAAAATTCAAAGACATCCAAGTTTTAAGGTCGTGTAAGCACTTTAGCAGTGGGTCAACAGAGTAGGATTCTGATTTTTTGAGGGGGATATAGATCTGGCTGTCATCCGCATAACAGTGAAAAGAAATGCCATGTTTCCTGAGAATGGAACCAAGTGGGAGTAGATAAAGAGAAAATAAAAGAGGGCCAAGCACAGAGCCCTGTGGGACCCCACATGAGAGAGGAGCAGTGGAGGACACAGAGTCATCAAGGCTGACACAGAAAGTCCGATGTGACAGGTAGGACCTGAACCATTCCAGTGCTGAGCCACTGATGCCCACCCACTGCTCCAAACGAGCGATCAGGATTTCATGATCCACTGTATCAAATGCTGCAGTCAAATCTAAAAGTACAAGGACAACACAGTGTCCAGAGTCAGTAGCTAAAAAGATATAATTAAAAACTCTTAAAAGCGCTGATTCTGTGCTGTGCAATGTTTTAAAACCGGATTGGAAAGTCTCAAGAATATTGTGTTCATTTAAAAAGTCCATGAGCTGGGAATAAACAATCTTCTCTAAGATTTTAGAGAAGAAAGGCAATTTGGATATAGGCCTGAAATTTGCCAAAACATTAGGATCCAGCCCAGGTTTTTTTAATAAAGGCTGCACAACTGCATGTTTAAGATTTACAGGGACTACTCCAGAGGACAGACTGCTATTAATAACTGTGAGACATGATGGCCCAATAGTGGGAAAAACCTCCTTGAATAACCGGGCGGGACAGTATCATTCGGAGACCCTGAGGGCTTCAAATGACCCACAATCTCATGCACAAACAGCAGGGTCACAGGTTCAAAGGTGTCAAACACAGCAGAGCAATAAACATGTGCACGTTGACAAAGACTAAAAGTACATTTCCTGTCAGACATTTGTATTTATTTATTATATTTTTATATGACATTACATTATAGTGAGGCAGTATCACGCACTGCAATACCGCTTCTATGTGTGGAGTGATGCTGCTGCTTCAACCTCTCTGGATCATCAGGACACAGCGGATCCTCCAACACAACCTCCTTCCTCACCGCTAGCAGTCTGACTGAGCTCACCAACTCTTCCAGCTGAGGAGAGAAGGAGACAGAGGACAGCAGAGATAAATCAGTGTTTACAGAGACTCCCTCCATCAGCACATCCAGTATAAAGAGCAGCAGGGTCTGAACACATCATTACTGCAGAAACAGAGAGACATTCACTGCCCACTGGAATGATGCATTTACTGCTGTTAGGGTTCAAAGCTGATAAAAACCACAGTCTCAGTCACATTTGAATGTTTCATCTGAAATCTTACAGGACAAATGTGTAAATATTCAAACTATTTGGACAAACAAAAGACAAATGGACAGATATATATCTGATGTTAAAGGTCCTACATGTTCATACAAAGACTGAACAGCAACACATCAGCTGTGGGTACTGGACTCCAGCAGAGGTCCTGGTCTGTACAAAGACCACATGGTCACTAAATGTAATGATGGTTGTTTGCAGGCTTCAGTCAGACTGATCTCAGAGCTGTGACAAAGACCAACTGATCAGTTGTTTAGTGTAGAAATGAGAGAACAAACAGTGTGAGATCAGACTGGATGAATGAGGACCACTGTCTCTATACATCTTGTAATGCTGTCAGCTGGAATCCAGCTTTATTTCCTGAACACATGAACACAACAACAACAGTCGTCTTCACATCAACTCAAACACATGATCACAACAAGCTTCTGGCTCTCTGATTGGCTGACTGTTCTCTCTCTGTCTGTCTGTCTGTCCAATCCTGAAGCCTGTCCCCATTCTCCTCTCACAGCTTCACTGAGGAAAGCAGCAAATACTGCATCTGTGTTTAGTCCAAGACTGCTGGAACCAGCATGGACTGACTCAGACCCTCTACTGACCTCAGAGTCTGCAGTCTACAGTGTGGACTCTCCACAAGATCAGACAGCAGCTTCACTTCTGAATCCTGCAGGTTGTTGAAATCCAGGTCCAGCTCTCTCAGATGGCAGGGGTTGGACTTCAGAGCTGAGACCAGAGAAGAACAGCTGATCTCTGACAAACTGCACTCCCTCAATCTGAATAAAGAATAAAAGATGTGAGTTTATAATGAAACAGTTCAGTCAGTAGAAACGTCACACAGCTTCATAAAACACTGAATATATTTGTTATTGTCTGACAGTTGAAATAAAGATTATTTATTTATTATTTGTGTTAATTCATTTATGTTTATGGATGATTTAAAACCACAAGGTGACCTTTAATGTAAAATCCAGAGCTGAAGAAGTTCACAGTGAATTATTCAGTGTAGATTCTTCTTGTTATATGAAGGTTTTAAATGTGGAGCTCAACATTGCTCTGCCACAGTCAATGGACTAATCCACTGAAGAAGAAAACAGCAGAAATAAAACATGGTGTCTGACCTCAGAGTCTCCAGTCTACAGTGTGGACTCTCCAGAAAACCACACAGCAGCTTCACTCCTGAATCCTGCAGCTTGTTGTGACTCAGGTCCAGCTCTCTCAGATGGGAGGGGTTGGACTTCAGAGCTGAGACCAGAGAAGAACAGCTGATCTCTGACAAACTGCAGCCCCTCAATCTGAAAAAAGAATAAAAGATGTGAGTTTAGAAGACAATGTTCCTGCTTGAAATCATTCAGTGTTTAATAATCTGTTCAGAGCTGAAGAAGGCTGAAGAAGGCACTCCTGTAAAGCCTGTATATCTTGACCTGCAATGAGTCCATTTAACTGTAGCCCCCCAGACTCTTACAGTGTTCCTGTCAGAATTATGCCTAGATTTAAAACCCACTAATCTACGCACTCTGTCTCTTCTTCTATCCATTATCATAGACCGTCTGCAGCACGTTCAAGACCACACCCATCTGCTGTCAATCACCATAACATAATTCAAGTCACCCTACAACCTCAGTCCCCTCCTGCTCTTAGCTGTAACCCTGTAAATATTGGTCTTTTAAACATCAGCTCCCTCAACAACAAATCCTTTCTTTGCCATGATTTTATAACTTTTAATAATCTAAATTTTTTTATCCTCACAGAAACCCAGGGAGATTTTGGTCCTCTTATCGAAGCAACCCCCCCTGATTTTACACACCTCCACCAACCCCAGTTGTCAGGCAGGGGAGGGGGGGTGGCTGTCATTTACAGATAAGATTTTAATTGCACGCCTGTTGTACATGGTAGTTTTACTTCTTTTAAACACCTTGGTTTTATGGTTCACTCAAAGGTTCCAGTAATAATTTTAGTAATCTACAGACCGCCCAAACCAAACTCTGCTTTTATCTCATTTTATGACAAGGTACGACAAAATTCTTATTCTAGGTGATTTTAACATTCATGTTTGTTGCCCTCCTCAGTCTTTCACTACAGATTTTATGGATATTCTGGAGTCTTTTAACCTCACCCAGGGAGTTCAAGAGCCCACTCATTCAAAGGGTCACATCCTGGACCTGGTTCTGTCCAGTGGCCTCAGCCCAGATAATCTAACTATTAAGGATATTTGTGTGTCGGATCATAAAGCTGTTTTATTTAATATCATTTTATCCAAAACACCTTTTAATCACAGCCCACCAGTCCGCAGCCGGGTTTTTAACACCAGCTCAGCTAGCAAGTTTTCAGAGCTTTTTAGTGCTTCTTTAACTGCTTTTAACCCCGATTTTAACCCAGAGGAGCTGGTCTCTTTTTTAACCACTCCTGTCAGTCTGCCCAGGACATCATCGCCCCCTACAAAAACAAAAAAAACAGTAGAGCACTGCAACCCTGGCTAAATAACCATACTCAATCAATGAAAAGACACTGCAGGAGAAATGAAAGAAATTGGAAAAAGACAGACATGTGTTTTATCAGACCTGAAAAGATGCCATGATAAATGATCAAAAAACAGTTAAAGAAGCAAGAACTTAATTATTTTCTAAATTAAAGTGGCATTTTCCCACACTCTTTTAAACATGCTGTGGTCCAACCTCTTTAAAAGAAACCAAACCTCGACCCTTCGGTTCTTAACAATTTGAGGCCAATTTCTAAGCTTCCGTTTTTATCCAAGGTCTTATAGAAAGTAGTTTCTACGCAACTTTTAGCTTTTATGTCTCACAACAACATCTTTGAGAAGTTCCAGTCAGGTTTTAGAGCTTTAAATAGTACAGAAACTGCCCTCCTCAAGGTAATCAACGACCTTCTTTTAGCAGCCGATAGGGGAGAAAGCGCAGTTTTAATCCTCTTAGATTTAAGTGCAGCCTTCGACACTGTTGATCGTGCAATTTTATTAGACCGCCTGAAAACCTGGGTCGGCATCAAGGGTACTACTTTTAGCTGGTTTTATTCTTAGCTTTTAGACAGAACCTTCTCGGTCACCACAGGTAATTATTCCTCAACTACAACTCCAATTACCTGTGGTGTACCGCAAGGTTCTATTTTAGGTCCGATTTTATTTTCTATTTATATGCTCCCACTTGGCCAGATTATTAAACACCATAATGTATCGGTCCATTGCTATGCAGACGACACACAAATATACCTTCCGCTGAGGCCCGGTGACCCTGGAAGCCTAGCTGCTATTTTAGACTGTCTTAAAGATATTAACAGTTGGATGGCCCAAAATTTCTTACAGCTTAACAACACCAAAACAGATCTCATATTGTTCACCCCCCCAAACAATATTAGTCATTATCAGCAAGCCCTTGGTCCCCTCTCCGAAAAACCCACTGCAAGAAACCTAGGTGTACATTTTGACTTGTTATATGAAGGTTTTAAATGTGGAGCTCAACATTGCTCTGCCACAGTCAATGGACTAAACCACTGAAGAAGAAAACAGCCTTTAGCATTCAGATACTCAGTGTGGATCAGTATAATATCAGCCTTATGTCTGCACTTTACTGTCAGCACAACTTAACATCACATTCATCTCAGCACAGAAAGAAAACATGGTGTCTGACCTCAGAGTCTCCAGTCTACAGAGTGGACTCTCCAGAAAACCACACAGCAGCTTCACTCCTGAATCATACAGATCATTGTTCCAACTCAGGTCCAGCTCTCTCAGATGGGAGGGGTTGGACTTCAGAGCTGAGACCAGAGAAGAACAGCTGATCTCTGACAAACTGCAGTAACTCAATCTGAATAAAGAATAAAAGATGTGAGTTTAGAAGACAATGTTCCTGCTTGAAATCATTCAGTGTTTAATAATCTGTTCAGAGCTGAAGAAGGTTTACAATGTACAAGTTTATAAAAAGCTTTAGATTAGTGTCTATCTGGACATATCTGGGAGTCAAACACATAAAGTCTCAGTGGATCAGCTGTATCTGTTCGGGGAGGGAGGAGTTAATACTAAATACTGTCTCCTCAATAGTTTTATTGCAACCTTCACTGTATTCATGTTCATTGTATAATTTATTTAATGTGTTTTTTTGTTTGTATTATTTAAATAATTTATTTTATTCATGTATTTTTCAGATTTAGTTTTAGTGTAAATGTGTGTGATGGAGCGGTACCGTCATTGACTGCTGGCACACACACACACACACACACAAATAATCCATTTCCCTCAGCTCCTTTCTGCTCTCATTAACTAAATTAATAAGTGAGTTAATAAACCGTGCTGTTAGTGAGAGTGCTGTCTCAGGAGTTTGGTTGGACAGACAGAGTTGAATACAGTCGGAGGTTATATGTGATAATCTTGCAGGTCTTCCAGGTCATGTGGGCAGAATAATTACATTTTCTTTATAGTATTAATTCTTGCAATAATAACTAGTTTGGCTTATAAAGGAATAGGGGTTAAATTATAAATACATTGTGTTTGAAATATATATTGTGTTTAGATGATGGAAACAGTAACAATAATAAGAAAAGATATTAATTGTTGTTAATTAATGGAAATATTAAGCCCAGTGGGAGGGGCTAGTGAAGTCAGTCCGAGCTTAGTTACAGTGGAGGTAACGTGCACTGGAGGTTACGACCTGGGTAATTTAAGTATTTGTTGTGATAGTTTCTTTTTTATTCATTTATGTTTGAAATGTTGTATATAGCATTTGATTTTCCTTTTCCAAGTTTTTGCCCTTTTGGACCACTTTCTGTAAATATTATCACCGTTGTGCACCTTGTGAGACCAGAAATAAATTACACCAACCATATCTTCAGACTACGCCTGAGTTTGAAATGTTCTATAAAGGGAAAAACACTAAAACACAAAGCAAGGAGATAAACTTTTTGATTTTCTAATTATTAAATGATCATGTTGTGTCACTTTGAATGGAAACAATAAAAAGCACAGTTACAATAGGGTCAGTGTGGAGGTTCTTCCAGAAACCGCTTTGTGGGATTTGGGGTTCAGTTTGAACTATTTATTTTCATTCACTGATGGAGAATAAAACATGTTTCTGTTTCATTCAAATGAGGGAAAGGTGAAAATGAAACCATTAAGAGAGAATCAACCACTGTTGAATGATTAATGTGATATTAAATATGTTTTAAATATGAAACTCAACAAGATGCTAGTTGTGAATCAGCATCAAATCTATGTGGTTGAATCCTCAGTGTGGAATAAAGCTTTAATAGTATTAACTATGGTTTAACTTTAAATATTTCAATTAGAATTTAAACTTCTTAAAACAACAATTTCTTGTCTGAAATATTAGTTTCACACTAACAATGTCAGCAGCGTTAATATTTCCAATGTTATAAAACTTTGTCTCCAGAGTTTGAGAACTGGCAGTGTGTTGAATCAGAGATCACATTACATTCATACGTTTCGTCTGAATGAACAAATGTTTTGGGTGAACGAACTGTACTGAATCACTTCCTCAAACAATCCGTTCTCAGTCAGCTGAGAGCCAACGTGCAGTGATTCACTGACTCACTCAGATGGATCCTCACTCACTGAACGTACTACACACAGTGAACGTGTCCTCAGCCCCGAGTGTTTCACTAAATACTCATTTCATTCTGCAGCACATTGTAGAATAAATCCTACAGTTTTCTGACTAACACCAATCCAGTTTGAGTACAGACGAAATCTGGAGCCAAATCATTCAGACTGACAGACTTTAAACAAGAGCTGTTGTGATTTGTGCTCAGACAAACCCAGACAACAAAAGAACTGAAGGAGATTTAAAACTTCTGTTATATTTGGTAGATATACACAGAGCAAACACATGAACTGACCTCAGAGTCTCCAGTCTACAGTGTGGACTCTCCAGTCCAGCAGACAGCTTCACTCCTGAATCCTTCAGGTCGAAGTTCCTACTCAAGTCCAGCTCTCTCAGATGGGAGGGGTTGGACTTCAGAGCTGAGGCCACGACTTCACAGTGAGTCTCTGAGAGCCAACAGTGAGACAGTCTGTGAATACAGAGAATATAACCTTTAAAATAAAATCTGATTGCATTTAGATCACAAAGCAAATAAAGACACACAGAAATCATTCAACATTCATATTTAACACAGCATGTTTAAATGTAAGTTGTAGCCCCTTCATGTCACACACACATAGAACATACAAATATTACATTTATATTAGAATAAAATAAAATAAACAATACATACAGTTATTAACATATATAACTATAAATCCAGTAAAGTAGTTCTGCAGTGCATTTTTTGAATGTGGGTCTGGGGGAATGTAAACAGCTACAGAAGCACATTGCCTTCACAAAAAAACATTTAGACATATCGTAATTATCAGTTACTATCTCGTAATTACAAGGAAAGATGTTGTGATGATGAGATCAGGATCTTTATGAAAAAGTGGACTGGTCCCACATACTGGCCACTGTTTAGCTCAGTGGTACCTGGGGACATGTTGAACAACAATCTGAATTTTTTGAATTTGCATATTCATATCATGCTCGTGTTTGTCCATATGCCATGGTAGCTTCATCCACAAATGTAACCTGCATATGTCATCATCAACCACCATTCTTCTCTCCCGCCTTCAGTCCTCCCTCAACATCACCGGTACTGGCCTCTCCTGGCTAAGGTCCTATCTCACAAATAGACAACAGTTCATCAATACCAACAACTGCACCTCCTCCACTGCTCCCCTGTCCCAAGGCCTTTAATTAGGCCCTTTAATGTTTGATTCATTGTGGAGTGTTGTACATATATATCTATATGCAAAACATTCTCATTGCTAACGCATTCAAAACTGCAGCTGGGTCAGTGGCCCTACGCTTCAAGGGGTGACGCTCTAGGTACACTTCTAGTGTCTAGTGACTTTTGCACGTGCAGGGATGTTTGATTGATATGACACCGTGGCACTGTCAAGTTACCAAAAACACATTTACCCACGTCTGGGTGGACTGAATCAGGAAAATACACTTTCAAAATAAAGCCAGAAGAGAAACATTTCATATTTTATGAACAATAGTAATACTAACACTAGTGTTTTTTTTCCTATTTCATAAATACAAATCATGTTGCAACATTATTAGGACAGAAAAATATAAAGTGAACTTAGTTATGTTAGCTGCACAATTAGACATGAGGTATGAGGCAAGAGGTGTTGATTAAAATACAGAGCTTTTGTAGTATAAAATTTTGTGTAGGTTAGTGCATATTATAAGTTATTAATCAATTAATCACACAATAATCACACAAAAGTTTTCTTATGCACTATGGTTTGTTCACACAGACAACTGGAAATCAAGTAGAGAGCACTATGTTTTAAGTAATGATGATTTTGAGTGTTAAGTAGAATAGATTTATATAAGCTCACAAGGATGTTAATGAAGGCATGTGTTTTAAGTTTATATGATTTCATGATAAGCACAAATACAAGTTTTCTTATCATTAGTAAGCACCATGATTTTAAGTAAAAGTTTGATTTAATGTGTGGAACATATAGAATGTGTAGTTGTAGCAAAGAAATGAGCACTGATTATACCAAATGTATGTGTGTGGTTGTAACACAAGTTTCTTATCATATTATAAAGTTAAAAAATACAGTACAAGACGTCTGTGACATAATGGTGTAAGGAAAAGGTAATAAATGGTTTTTAAAAAATAGAAGTACAGTAAACTAGACTCTAATGGTGTAATCCAGATGAAAGGAGAGCAAAAAGAAAATGTCATGGCCTACTAGTGTAGGCCATGAAGCCTGTGGGTTCTGTGATAAGAACATAGGCCTGACGGTGCAGGTGAGTAAGACACCAGTAGAGTGGAGCGTGGGCAAAACAAAGGCAGGATAATTGGGCTGATAAGACAACCACTAGGATGGCGCATGGGCCCAACAAGGGCAAAATAATTGGGACCCATGTACTGGTAAAGATTTAGGGTCTTTCCAAAGTAGAATTTACACCATTATATCGTGGATGGAAAAGGTAGAAGGTGGGCAGGACTTGTGACAGAGGGCAAAAGTATATAAGGAGAAGCTTTGTGAGGATGAATTCAGTCTTTCCATGGAGGGATCGGGCTTTGTTTGTCTGTCAAGATAATAAAGCTCTATTCTACTGCCAACTTTGATGAATCCTGGTTGTTATTTTTCCACCTGAAGGAGAATAACTTTTAGACCTAATTTGGACTTAGAAAATCGTATGTTGGACACAATCTTCTGATCATAAAGAGAACTAATTCTGACCAAGACCCAACACTTTATTGCTGGTCAACCCGTGAGAACGGGTTAAAGTAAGAAAAAATTAATTATGAAACGTTTCTCTTCTGGCTTTATTTTGAAAGTGTAACCGGACATTGCTTATTTATTTTCCTGATTCAGTCCACCCAGACGTGGGTAAATGTGTTGTTGCTAACTTGACAGTGCCATGGTCTCATATCAATTAAACATCCCTGCGCGTGCAAAAGTGACACTAGAAGGGTACCTAGAGCGTCACTTCTTGAAGCGTAGGGCCACTGACCCAGCTGCAGTTTTGGACGCGTTAGGAAAGAGAATGTGTTGCTATATACAGTATATATATTTTTGTGTGTTGTTTTATTACCTTTTTTTGTAACTTATGTGAAATGTCTTTGAGTTCCTGGAAAAGCGCTCTATAAATAAAATGTATTATGTTATTACTATTTATTAAAATGCAAAGTTTTAGTTAAATAACATGAGATTTTATTGGGGGAAACCCCACGGCCACATAAATCATGAAAATAATAATAAATGATAACAGAAACACATTTCACACACGGTATACACTGTAAAAATGGACATTTCCAGCACAAACTCTTGAGCCCTCAAGAAGACAATAGAAGATACGAGAAGATGTTCACTGACCTGAAAGCTATACTGTGGAAGTTTTATATTGTGTGTGTGTGTGTGTGTGTGTGTGTGTGTGTGTGTGTGTGTAAAGTGTGTATATTGAATCTAATACTGATGACTTCAGCATTGCTTTATAATGTTAATCTCATCTGGACTTACAGAGCCTTTCTGCAGTTCCTCACAGCTGGAATCAGTCTCAGTCGTCCCTCCAGTGATGTGTTGTACTTCTTCAGGTTCAACTCGTCAAGAACCTCCTCTGACATCTGCAGCATGTAGGCCAGAGCTGAGCAGTGGATCACAGAGAGTTTCTTCTCTGATCTGTTCTCTGACTTCAGGAACTCTTGGATCTCCTGATGGACTGAGTGGTCCTTCATCTCCGTCAGACAGTGGAAGATGTTGATGCTTCTGTCAGGAGAGATATCATCACTGTTCATCTCCTTCAGGTTGTTCATGACTCTCTGGATGATTACTTGACTGTTGTCTGTCTGACCCAGCAGGCCTCCTAAGAGTCTCTGGTTGGACTCCAGAGAGAGGCCATGAAGAAAGCGAACAAACAGGCCTAGATGGCCATTTTCACTCGTCAGGGATTTCATCATTGCTTCCCTCAGGAAGACGTCCAGAGATGAATCAACATATTCTTCTCCCAGGAAACCCTTCAGTACCTCTGTGTTGCTGTTGGTGTGACAGTGGAACATGTAGACTGCAGCCAGAAACTCCTGAATGCTCAGATGAACGAAGCAGTAGACTGTTTTCTGGAAGATCACACTCTCTCTTTTGAAGATCTCTGTACAAACTCCTGAGTACACCGAGGCCTCTGTGACATCAAGACCACACTGATCCAGGTCTTCTTGGTAGAACATGATGTTTCCTTTCTCCAGCTGTTCGAACGCCAGCCTCCCCAGCTTCAGAAGAACCTTCCTGTCAGCCTCCATCAGCTCCTGTGGACTCGTCTCATGTCCCTCATCATACTTCTGCTTCTTCCTCTTTGTTTGAACCAGCAGGAAGTGTGAGTACATGTCAGTCAGGGTCTTGGGCAGCTCTCCTCTCTGGTCTGTGGTCAACATGTGGTCCAGAACTGTAGCAGTGATCCAGCAGAAGACTGGGATTAGACACATGACGTGGAGGCTCCTGGAGGTCTTGATGTGGGAGATGATTCTGTTGGACAGATCTTCATCACTGGCTCTCCTCCTGAAGTACTCCTCCTTCTGGGCGTCAGTGAAGCCTCGTACTTCTGTTACCCTGTCCACACATTCAGGAGGGATCTGATTGGCTGCTGCAGGTCTGGAAGTTATCCAGACGAGAGCCAATGGAAGCAGATTCCCCTTGATGAGGTTTGTCAACAGCACGTTGACTGAAGACTTCTGTGTGACGTCAGACACAACCTCATTGTTGTGGAAATCCAGTGAAAGTCTGCTTTCATCCAGGCCGTCAAAGATGAACAAAAGTTTACAGACAGCGAGCTGCTCTGCTGTGACCTTCTGTAATGTTGGATGGAAAACATGGAGGAGTCTGAGAAGACTGTACTGCTCATCTTTGATCAGGTTCAGCTCCCTGAACGAAAGCAGAACCACCAGACTGACATCTTGGTTGTTCGAGCCCTCTGCCCAGTCCAGAGTGAACTTCTGCACTGAGAAGGTTTTTCCAACGCCAGCAATGCCGTTCGTCAGAACCACTCTGATGTGTCTCTGTTGGTCAGGTAAGGCTTTAAAGATGTCGTGGCACCTGATTGAAGCATCATGGAAGGTCTTCTTCTTGGAAGCTGTCTCAAGCTGTCTTACCTCATGTTGGGTATTAACCTCTTCACTCTGTCCCTCTGTGATGTAGAGCTTAGTGTAGATCCTGTTGAGGAGGGTTCCACTTCCTAGTTCATCAGTTCCTTCAGTCACATGTTCACATCTCCTCCTCAGACTGATCTTATGTTCATCTAAAACCTCCTGCAGACCACCATCTGCTGGAAGAGAAGAAGAAATGGGAGACAAAACAAAGAAAATTTGCCAATCTTCTGATTATTTTAATTGCCAATAAAAAAACAAAATCAGAATATTTCCAGAATTAAAGGTTATAAAGTCCAGTTTTGGGTAAACATCAGAAATGCTCCTTTGTCTCTCAGCCTCTGGCTGTGTGTCGGTGGACTCTCTTCATCAGCTCTTCATCTGAACTGCTCACTGTGGCTGTTCCTTCGTCCCAGGAATGTTTAAACTGATCCACCGACCAAATAATGCAGAATACGTTATTGAATAACAATAAATCAATTTACAAAGAATGGAATAAAACATATTAAATAAAAGTCCTGAAAGCTGAACACAGAGAGACTTTTAGAAACAGATCTTTCTCTCTGGTCTCCAGCACAGACACACACTTTAGAGACAGACGAGGTTTTTGTTTGAGGGAGGAGGATCTCAGGTTGGCCCCTGTTGACCATGATGCTACCATCAGAACCACAACAGCTAGTTTGTTCCTGCTATGAGGCTGCAGTGGAGATGCACGTGTTCACAGTTTGACACAATGTGGCACAAAGACAAAGTAAGCAAACTGAAAACTGTTGTTTACGAGCTGAGGGCCAACAGTGTAAGTACAGTACAGTTTAAGCTGTTTAATGTGCTGACACTGATGAGCTAATTAGCTACCTAATGATGTTAGCAGTGCACTTTTCCTCAGTGGATGTTTATTCGGTCGCTTGTTCAACAAGTCAGTCTGCAGGACGAAGTGTGTTTGTAAGTTAGAGAAGAAGCAGTCACGAGCAGGAACACCAATGTGAGCTGTTGTTTAAAGTCTGTGGCTCTTGTTGCGTCTCAGGCTGCTGTCTGTCTGTGATAGAACAGTGATGTTACTGCTTTACACAGAGTTTAATAGTTCTCCATCTCCATCTATGCACACAGAGAACAACCAGCATTCTGACTGCTTAATGCAAAGACAGGGGGCGCTATCATAAAACCAACATGTGTCATTATGTTTTCTCAAAGGAGAACAAGGACACGAATTGTATGCTGGAGCAGAAAAAACATGCAACTACATTTAAATGTATAAAGGTGTTAAATGGCCGTACTGTATGACACAACTAATGTATTAACACATCAGCAGACAGGTATACAGTCTTACTCTGTCTTGTTCTGGGTCCTTCTCCAGACTGGGGACAGGAGGCGTCTCCTGATGAAGCAGACTGGTACCAGTATGAGGTGATGCACTGTCTACAGAACCAGAGTCCAGAGCTGGTAGAGACTGGATCCTTCAGGACGTCCCGACACAAAACACAGCAACTCCTCTTCCTCTTTCTGTGAAGACATTTCTTTATAAGTACAATGATTTGTTGACTGTAGTTGAAACATATCAACATGTGTCCACTGACTCTGTGTAGAAGCTCAGATGGTCACAGAGAACAGTAAAAGTCTCGTTACTTTTCTGTTTGAATTCAGCATTCAGTCTGAAATGAAACAATTGTTCCTTTAATTTCAACTCTCCTGCTTTCACAAACACCAATGAACTGCTTTACCTGTTTGTCTCATTAAACATTTAGTGATCAGCCTGTAGTTAGTTATCAATACAAACTCAACACTTCCTGCAGCTGCTTCACAGTAAAAATCCTCCATTAAAGAGAGCTCATTATGTCTGTTACTGTTTCAGACCTGCCAACCTTGGCTCAATATCAGGGCTGCCCCCTAATAGTCCACTTAACTGTTAGTCGCTGAGAACAATCTTAGTATTTGATGACAAAGTCCTTAAAGAAGCTCTAAATACACAAACTGCTGCTACTGTGGATCATTAGGAGGTTTCAAAGTTTGTATCAGTGCTCTTAGATTAGATTACAGCTTTAATAGTGACTGACAGCTGTCACAGAGACTGAGAGGAAGATGGACGAGTGATTTCTCTTTGTGTGTCACAACAGTTAAGTAAGTAAATACATTTTAGCAGAAAGTTTAATATATAAACACAAAATCAACAGAAAGCATGCATGAGCAGAGGGAACTGAAAATGAGTTATATAAATGAGTTTGTATCAGTTCTCTTACTTTGAGTCTGAGGGTCCAGGTTCATTGCTGAACAATGGAGGTCTATCTTTGGACCAGTCACTCTTCATAGACAGACAGCTGGACGCTGCAGACTCTGCTCTGTCCTCCTCTTCCTCCACATTAACACTCATCTTCTGATCTGAAGTCAGTCTGAGAGTTAAACAGTAACACAGACTGTGAGCTCAGAGGACAAGAACCAGGAAACAAGATTGTTAACGAGTCGCACACACACACACACACACACACACACACTCACACACTCAAGTCACTTTATTAATTTTTATTGCACACACATACACAATAAGCATCCATACACTAGGTAGCCTGACTGCTACCGCTACGCTAGCCTGTCAGCTTGATAATTAGTGACGTTAATGAGCTAGATAGTTAGTTAGTTAGTTAGGTTGTAAACCGGCAAGGCGTACCAGTCCTGACCATCAAATGAATGAAAATGCAACCTAAAGGCGAGCCACCTGCGCACTGTGACTAATTATGCATACACATATAATATATATATAAAGCAATAGTTACACCTGCTGGAAAGTTCTACATACTTCAGTTTCCCTCCTCCTGCTCTGTCAACTCAAAATGGAGTCTGACTCTGAACTATCTGAACACTTTCACTTTCAGGTTCCCTTCCTGTTCTCATGAGCCTGGATCACATGTAGCTCCTCCCCTCTCCGTTTACAGGAAGTCAGTGTTTATCTGTTTGTTGTGTGTGTGTGTGTGTGTGTGTGTGTGTGTGTGTGTGTGTGTGTGTGTGTGCAGTGTGTGTGTGTGCATACAGCAGTGTTAAAATACTTTAATGCTTTAAAGTACAAGGTACATAATGATTTGAGAGCATGTGTTTCCTACCAGCTGTCCTCTGAATTTGTAATGTTTATTTTATTTTATTTTATTGGGCAGTGCTTCAGATGCTGCAGGTTGAACAGAAAGTTGTGCCAAACTCCATTGAAAATGTGTCGTATTTAAGACTGCCTTGGTATTTTGGTAGGAATGGGCTGAAAGAGGAAGATTTTCATATGAAGTCTGGCACGAAGTCTCCTTTTATATCAGCTGAATTTGTCTGAATGTCTCTGTGCTGACCCCTGCAGATCCCCCAAATGTGTGAATCTTGACTGTATAATATCTGGTGGTGGGGGGGCTGCGTGGGAGCCTTTAGCTGTTATAGATGAACGCAGCAACTTCCA